TATCCAGCTACACCCCTCATCATTATACACTTTTTTCAAATTAGTTTAAGTTTGTCGTTTTTACTTAAAAATGTTTACTTTAAGTTTCTTGTTATAATGTCTAATAAAGATAATTATAATGTTATGTATACTTTGGTATATATTTAATAGGCAATGCCCTTAGTGGTGTTCCCCATTTTTTTAGGGGCATCCTTTTGGTACTAATTAAGCTTCATTATATATATATGGGTTAACCCCTTAGCGGGTGTTGTCTAATGGTCACCTTGGATTCTAGACTTCTAGAAACACGTACGCTTTTTTCATTAAATTGGGCATGCTCTCCAGGCACCTGATTCCACAGCGCTGAGAAGTAAGTGTTGTATAGCAATTGCGACTGCATGTATGGCTGAGTCTGTATGTCTGTGTCTGTATGTCTGTGGTCTGTGCATGATAGTGTCTGTATATCTGTGTATGACTATGGCTGTATGATTTTGTCTGTGTTTATGTTTATGTTAATGCTAGTATGACTTTGTCTGTATATCTGTGTATGAATCTGTTTGTATATCTGTATGCGTCTTTATGCCTGAATCAGTATGTTTGGTTATGACAGTGTCTGTAAGTTTGTGTATGGCAGTGCCTGTATGACTGTGTATGAAAGCGTCTTGGGCAGACTAGATGGGCCGAATGGTTCTTATCTGCCGTCACATTCTATGTTTCTATGTTTCTGTATGTGACAGTGTCTGTATGACTGTCTGTATGTCTGTGTCTTTATAACTCTGTAAGTCTGTGTATGACTGCATGTTTCTTTAGTTCTGAGTCTGTATGTTTCTGTATGGCTGTGTCTGTATATGATAGTGTCTGAATGTCTGTGTATGGCAGTGTCTGTATCTTTATGACTGTCTGTATGTTACTGTATGTCTGTTTAGAAGTGTCTGAATGTCTGTGTCTTTATGACCATATCTGTATGTCTCTGTATCTTTGTCTGTATGTCTCTGCTTTTATGACTGTATGTCTCTGTATGACTGTTTGTATTTCACTGTATGACTATGTCACTGTATGTGTGTATGACAGTGTCTGTATTTGCATGCCTGTGTATGACAGTGTACGGATGTCTCTGTATGCCTGAATATGTATGTCTGTGTATTTCAGTGTCTGTATGATTTTGTCTGTTTATCTGTGTATGACAGTGTCAGTATGACTGTGTCTGTATGTCTGTGTATGACAATACCTGTATGACTTTGTCTGTATGGATGTCTCTGTGTGCCTGAGTATGTATATGACAGTGTCTGTATATATGTGTATGCCTGTGTCTGTATAATTTTATCTGTGTGTCTGTTCAGGACAGTGCCAGTATGTCTGTATATCTGTATGAATCTGTTTGTATATCTGTATGTCTGAATGCCTGAGTCTGTATCTCTATGTATGACAGTGTTTGTGTGACTGTGTCTGAACATCTGTGTATGACAGTGTTGGTATGACTGCATCTGTGTATTACTGTATGTCTTTTTATGATTATTTATATAGCGCCAACAAATTCCGCAGTGCTGTACATTGGGTGGACTAACAAACACGTAATTGTAACCAGATGAGTTGGATGCACAGGAACAGAGGGATTAAGAGCGCTGCTCAATGAGTTTACATGCTAGAGGGTGTGGGGTAGTAGTAGAAAAGTAGGTGGGAGGAATAGTATGCGCTGAAGACTTAGTGTTTTGATGACAGTTTTAGGAGAAAAATCAGGATGCGGGGGAGCTATTAACAGTTTAATTGATACGCTTTCCTGAAGAAGTGGAGACTGGGTGAATGTCTACAGATACTTTATGCCTGAGTCTGTATGGCTCTGTATTTCTGTTTATGACAGTGTCTGTATGTCTGTATGACAGTGTCTATATGACTGTATATTATAGTGTCTGTATGTCTATTTGTGACAGGGTCTATATGTCTCTGTGTTTCTGTATGTCACTATATGTCTTTGTCTTTAAGTATGTGTTTTTATGACTCTGTATATGATTGTATGCCTCTTTATGCCTGAGTCTGTATGTTTCTGTATGACTGTCTGTATGCCTGTGTGTGACAATGTCTGTATGTTTACATGTGTCACTGTAAGTAAAAACATTTCAAGTACATCAATTCTAAAAAAACTAAAAAATAAAGTGTAGGTACACTGGAAACAGAGTTGGGTTTATTAGCTAATGAAAACCAGGAAAAAGCAGAAATTTTAAATAACTATTTTTCTTCAGTATATATTAATGAGGATCCTATGGCAAGAGATATGCAAATGATTGCTGCAAAAAACCTGCAAATAATTTGTGATTGGATAACTCGAGACAAGGTGCTACAGCTATTAAAGAAAATTAATGTAAATAAAGCTCCGGGGCCTGACAGTATTCACCCACGAGTACTTAAGGAGCTAAGTGGCGAAATAAGTGAACCTCTGTATTTAATTTTTCAAGATTCTTTTGTTTCAGGTGTTGTACCGGAGGATTGGAGGAAGGCAGATGTTGTTCCTATATTTAAAAAGGGTTCAAAATCCTTGCCTGGAAATTATAGACCTGTGAGCTTAACTTCTGTAACTGGGAAAATATTTGAAGGCTATTAAGGGATAATATTCAGGAATTCATTGGGAAGAACTTTGTTATTAGCAATAATCAGCATGGTTTTATGAAACATAGGTCATGTCAAACTAACCTAATTGCATTCTACGAAGAAGTAAGTAGAAGTATAGATCAGGGTGTTGCAGTGGATGTGAGCTACTTGGATTTTACCAAGGCATTTGATACGGTTCCTCACAATAGGTTAGTCTTCAAACTAAAAGAAATTGGTCTAGATGAATATTCTTGTTCTTGGGTAAAACATTGGCTTAAGGATAGAGTACAACGAGTTGTAATTAATGGTAAATTTTCAGGCTGGACAAAAGTGGTAAGTGGTATTGGGTATTGTTTTGGGACCACTTCTATTTAACATATTTCTAAATGATCTTGAAATAGGCATTGAAAGCCATGTATCAGTGTTTGCAGATGACACAAAACTTTGTAAAGTAATAAAATGTGAGCAGGATATTGCTTTGCTGCAGAGGGATTTGGAAAGATTGGGGGACTGGGCACCAAAATGGCAGATGAAATTTAACGTAGAGAAATGCAAAGTTATGCACTTCGGGGTTAAGAATGCACAAGCAACTTACACACTACATGGTAGTGAATTAGGGATAACCACACACGAGAAGGATTTGGGAATTGTTATAGATAACAAATTAGGCAGCAATATGCAATGTCAATCTGCAGTTGTTAAGGCCAGTAAAGTTTTGTCATGTATACATAGGGGCATAAATTCTCGGGATGAAAATATAATTTTGCCTCTTTATAAATCGCTGGTAAGACCACACCTTGAATATGCTGTGCAATTTTGGGCGCCTGTTCTAAAGAAAGATATCATGGCACTAGAAAAAGTCCAGAGACGAGCTACAAAATTGATAAAAGGAATGGAGCATTTTAGTTATGAAGAAAGGTTAAAAAAATTAAATGTTTAGTTTGGAAAAACGGCGCCTGAGAGGGGATATGATAAACTTTATACAAATATATTCGGGGCCAGTACAAACCTTTATCTGGAAATCTATTCATAAACAGGGCTATACATAGGACACAAGGTCACACATTTAGGCTGGAAGAAAGGAGATTTCATCTAAGGCAAAGAAAAGGTTTGAACTGCAATTGGATAAATACTTACAAAAACATAACATACAGGGATATAATTTCTAATTAGTGGGGTAATAGCTGCTTGATCCAAGGAGACATTTGACTGCTATTTTGGGGTCAAGAAGGAATTTTATCCTAGTTTGTGGCAAAAATTGGAAGCGCTTCAGACTAGGTTTTTTGCCTTCTTTTGCAACAACAACAACAGCAACAGCAACAACAGCAACAGCAACAGCAACAACATATGCGAGGAAGGCTGAACTTGATGGACACAAGTCTCTTTTCAGCTATGTATCTATGTAACTATGTAACTAAGGGTTGGAGTGTATGTATGTCTCCGTCTTTAATGACTATGTCTGTATGTCTCTGTCTGTATATTAGGGATCGACCGATTATAGGTCAGTATTTTCGGCAATATCTGTATCAGCAAATAGAGATGCCGATATTGCCGATAATACATAGCAGGACAGCCGGGCCCATGACAAGCCCAGCGATCCCGGAGGGCCCGCAGCAAGCACTTACTTATCTTCCCAGCACCTCCCTTCAGCTCCCCTGTCTAAATCTCGCAAGTCCCGCGGCCGGCAGAGCGTTGCCACGGGTTACCATGGCAATGCTCCCTGCGGCACACAGGCTGCGAGAGTTAGACAGGGGAGCTGATTAGTGTGCTGGGAATGTAAGTACCGTATATACTCGAGTATAAGTCGAGTTTTTCAGCACATTTTTTGTGATGAAAAAGACCCACTCGCCTTATACTTGAGTCAATACAGAGTATTACATTGCCATAATACACGAGTCAATTACATTGCCATAATACAGACCAGGACCGCCGGGCTCATTACATGCCCGGCGGTCCTGTTGGGGCTACATACCTTTGTAGCAGCTCCGGTCAGCTCCCTTGACCTCCGTGCAGCTCCCCTGTCAGCTTCCAGTGTAAACCTCGCGAGACCCGCAGCCGTCAGAGCGTAGCCACGGATTACCGTGGCAAGGCTCCACGCGGCACGCAGACCGCAAGATTTACACTGGGAGCTGACAGAGAAGCTGCACGGAGGTGAAGGGAGCTGACTGGAGCTGCTACAAAAGGTATGTAACAGCTTGCTGCCGGCTCCCCTCCTGCACAGCCCATGCCACTGGACCACCAGGGATTAAGATAGCCCCCCTCCCTGACCAGGTAACAAGCAGGGAGGGGGGACAAAAATAAATATAAAATAATAAAATAAAAATAATAATATTAAAATTAAAAAAAATTAAAATATTTTAAAAATAAAAAAAAAATGCCCTCCCCCTACCCAGTTCACACACAAACACATACAGTGTGTGTGTGTATATAATGCAATGTGTGTTTGTATGAGTGTGTGTGTGTGTATATCATGCACACACTCTGCATTTTATACACACACACACACACATACACACACACTCTGCATTATATACACACACACTCATACAAACACGCACTCTGCATTATATACACACACTCTGCATTATACACACACACTCTGCATTATACACACACACTCTGCATTATATACAGGATTATGTTCCAGGATCTTACCTAGGTAAAACCTGACAAAATTATAAAAATCACAGAATTTGATAGCCCCAAGTTTTACCCTCGACTTATCCACGAGGCATAGCATATTTCACAATTGTTGGTCACAAAACTGCACTAGATTTATACACGAGATCGACTTATACACGAGTATATACGGTAAGTGCTTGCTGGGCTCCTGCTGCACAGTCCATGCCACAGGACCACCAGGGAATACCATATCACCCCTCCCTGGCCATGTAAGAAGCAGGGAGCGGGGACTAAAAAAAAAATAATACACACCGTATTTTCCGGCGTATAAGACGACTGGGCGTATAAGACGACCCCCTACTTTTCCAGTTAAAATATAAAGTTTGGGATATACTCGCCGTATAAGACTACCCCTCTTCCAATGCACACCAAATAATTAGCCATGATGTACAGTGAGCAGACAGAGCTACACAGCAAGACATTAAATAATGATAATCTGAAATAGCATTTAAAGCCCAGGTATGTGCCAGGCTGTTTGGGCATATAATCCATGCCTGCTGGTCTAGCACACAGGAGGCTAATTGCGATATATTCTTTTTACTCCCCCCCTCCATTCTTTTTACTCCCCCTCCCCCCCCCAATCCTCCCTACGTTCTTCTCACCTCCTGCGCGGTACAGGAGATTCAGTTACCTGTTCCCGGCCCGACTGAAAGGAAGTGAGCACTCAGTGTGCACTTCCTTTCAGTCCGGCCGGGAACAGGTAACTGAATCTCCTGTACCGCGCGGTACCCGCGGACTGACAGGACGAAGAGGAGCTCGGCCACCCACTCTGCACAGGGAAGGGGAGGTGAGAAGAGAGGCAGTGCGGAGCCATCTGAGCGCTCTCTATAGAAGGGCCGGCGATGGGAGTGCAGGGCGCCCCCGGCAGCTATATAGACCCTATACCCGGCGTATAAGACGACCCCCGACTTTGGAGAAGATTTTCCAGGGTTAAAAAGTCATCTTATACGCCAGAAAATACTGTATATATATATATATATTTTTTTTTTCATATTTAAAAAATATTTAAAATAAAAAATGCCTCCCCTCCCACCCCCATTTTACACAAATTACGTACCTACAGAAACACACACACACACACACACTGTGCATTATATACACACACTACACAAGCACACTGCATTCACTATACACACACTACACAAATACACACACTCTGCATTCATAATATACACACACTGCATTCACTATAAACACACACGCCACACACTAAATTCACTATACACACACTACATTCACTATACACACACTCTGCATTCACTATATATACACACTACACAAACACTCACTGCATTCACTATATACATACACAAACACACTCTGCATTCATTATACACACACTACACAAACACACACAGCATCCATTACACACACACTACACAAACACACACAGCATCCACTACATGTGGCATGTATATTTTGTGCATTTACCTTTAGAAATAGTTTATTTTTTCAAACTGGTAAATGTACACAATATCGGTATCGGCTCTAAAAAAATTCAATATCGGTCGATCCCTACTGTCTATGACAGTGTCTGTATGTCTCTGTCTTTATGACTGTATTTCTCTGTATGACTGTGTAGGCAAGTGTCTGTATGTTTCTGTATATCCGTGTCTGAATGTCACTGTATGACTAGATATCTGTGTAGGACAGTGTGTGTGTGGGTGTGTATGACTGTACGACTGTACGACTGTGTCTGTATGTTACTTTATGACTATGTCTGTGTAGGACAGTGTCTGTAGAACTGTTTCTGTATGTCATTGTACAACTGTGTCTGTATGTTTGTGGATGGCAGTGTCTGTATGTGAATTTCAGTGACTAAAATTCAAAAGGTGGGTTACAAGACATACAGGAAAAGGCACTTTTTGAGAGGGGGGACACCACATGCATATTTGTCTGTGTATCAAAAGTCCTTGAACTGGCTCTGCCTGTTTGATGAGTCTCTGATTGTCTGCAGCCAGGTTGTGAATTAAAAGCATCAATCATCAGTGACCGATACGATAGTCTTCCTCCACCCTGCCTTTTACCTTTGGCCAGGGAGTGGGACATTACACTCCTTGGTGGTCCAGTGGCTTGGTCTACGTTGGCTGCCAGGAGGTTTCACATTGTAGAGTGGCAGCTGGGACCCAGCACACACTATCTTCTCTTATCGCCAGGTCCTCTCTCCAACTCTCAAGCCTGGTATGCCGCGTGGAGAGGCCAAGGTTTTGTAATTTTGGTGTCCCAATTTAGGTGTTGTCCAGCATCTAGAGGCACCAAATAACTGTCCCAAGACAACTCATAGAGAGCACATCGTTAGAGTGCTTCAGCAGCGCTCGCTGTGTTGTGAGCCCAAAATGGTTGTTGGTTAGCCTGGCATACACTGACACCATGCGAACACATCCCTTTTAAATGGATCCAACCGGGACAATAAAAGACGTTTTTATTGACTCAAATTGCATCACTGGCACAAACCTCAATGTCCAACCAGCCCTGTCTCAAATGCTGTATTAGTTACATATACTGAGCGTCTGAGGCGGTCTTCACACCATCTGATACAGAGAGATTATATGGGTCACAAATACGTATACGGAGGCTGTGTCATCACACTAGCTCATACAAAGAAGCTAATTTGGTCTCATATGCGGTTCTAGACAAGCAAGGGTATCCAAAATAACAGATTACCTTCCACTTTCTAACATAAGCCTATTTATGTGCTAAGAGAAATCAAAGCCAGATTCCTTGATAGAAAAAAGTGGAAACTTGGACTGAGAAATAGGCTTCTGAATACATGTATATAGGTGTGAGCTAAAACTAGACACCAAGGGAAAAGATGCACACGTATTGCAGGGATAGAATTATCAGCAACTCTTTTGTAAAACACCAACAATGGATAAAACTATCCTAGAGACTATTAACGAATAAATATAAGCTACTTGCTATAAGGGAGCCCAAAAGTAGGTAATATGGTATAGGTGAAAGAAAAGTAACCCCCAGACTTATAGGAATTAAAACTCTAATCTACTGACATCACAATGTCAAAGGGATCCCCATGCAATACAGGAATCACTGTTTCACTAAGTAAATAGTGTTGGATCGATCTACTTACTTTACTTTATCTTACTTTAGACTTACCCAAGATTCCACAGACTTACCTAACATTCTAACAGTATATTTTGTATTCAATAAAACTGTTGGCAGCCTGCAAACTTAATGATTATTAATGATAAAATAACAGACAAACCAAAAAGCAGGGCCACAGCAATACATCTGTGGTAGCTGGCAAAAAGCCTCTCCCTGAAATAGATATTGGCACTGATGTCAGTCGTGATGCTGTTTACCCACAGTTTCCAAATTTCATAATATGGGGCTACAGCCAGAAAACTTCCAAACATTCTTCAATCATCCACGAGTTTGCCTGGCTTCCCAATTTCTATTGTTTTGTGTTATTAACTGAAGTTTTTGTTATTTTTCTCGGTCAGGTTTATGGGACGTGTATTGCTAACAAATAAGAAGTTTTGTGTTAGTGGCAGTGACGGGGTTACATTCAGTCAAGGGGTGTGATTTTTAGGAGGAAGGGGTGTTCTCAACAAAAGATTCTCATCTGGACATCTGTGCCTGAACACTTTCAATAGAAAGCAGAAGAGGGGCTATTGACATGCTAATGGGGTCCTCTATATAATGCCAGAGCGGGAAACTGCTAGAGTTAGACAGAGAGGAGGAAACAGCAGAGGAAAAGACAGAGTGAGGATAAGAGACCTGCTGACATAGAAAGAGGGAAGACAAGGGACAATCTGATTACAAATAGACAAGATCAGTCTGAACTGGGGAAATTGTCGACAATTTACAATGTCTGGATCGATAAGAAATCACCTGAAACTATCCAATGCTAAGGAAGAGAGGAAGGTAAGAGGTGAACTCACTTACAGTTTGTACATCCTGGCACATAGTTCACCCTGCCTGGCACTGCTCGGGGCTTGGCATAGTTCATAAGGCATAAAGCACTGCATAGCCCATGGAGCATAATGCCTGGCAGAGCGCATTGCTTTCCCAGCCTGGCACAGTCATGGGGCATTAAGCAGACAAAGTCTGTCTGACAGAACTTGGGGTATAAAAGCCTGACATCTTTCCCAGCCTGGCAGAGCTCACAGCTCAGTCTGCCTGGCAGAACTTACAGGGTATAATGTCTGACACGTCTTTGACAGCCTGGCACAGCCCACAGCTCAGTCTGCCTGGCAGAACTTATTGGGTTTAAACCGGACATCTTTCCCAGCCTGGCACAGCTCAGTCTGACTGGCAGAACTTATAGGGTTTAAATTGGACACATTTTTCCCAGTCTGGCACAGCTCACAGCTTAGTCTGACTGGCAGAACTTATTGGGTTTAAACCTGACACATCTTTCCCAGCATGGCACAGCTCATGATGCACAAAAAACCTGTCACCGCTCACCGTGTTTAGTTCATAGTTCAGGGATGCATCCTAACAAAACTGAGACTTGAAGATTTCCCTATTTAATTGGAGATGGTTTTAAATCACATTTATCTGAGAACACTCACAATGAACATTTAGAACATATTTTAACGGCTTGCTTATATGTGATTATAGTGAGCTCCAACATTATCAGGGACCACAAATGATGCGTTGAAATCCAGGAACATATTTCTTGACATTCACTATTCAAAGTATTATGGTATAAAAAAAGAAGGGTAAACGCCTACTGTAAGTCTTATAGTACATCAATAGCTTCAATTCTGCATTTGTGCATAACTTTCTGGCTAAGGGTGATAAGAGTTGCAAGGCCACAGATAGACTAGACTTGCTGAATTATTAACAAAATCTAGTTAGATGTGATGCACAGATATGTCTGTGCTGCATATCTACCTGCAGTGGGCAATTTCACAAACAAATTAATATAGTGGCGAAGAGGTTATTCAGCAAACAGTGTGTTTTGGTGGAATGGCAAATGAACGTTCTACAATTAAGCTATCTTGTCCAACATTTCCAAGCCAGTTGTCAATTAATCACATTTCTCAGTGACTTTTACCCAGGGCCGGATTTACATGTCAGGTGCCTGTAGTCACAGAATTCTAAGGTGCCCCATTCCCCTAAAAAGTAGAAGCCAATAAAGTGGGTTAAAAACATTTATAATTTGGACTTTGCTGGCATAAAACATCTGGACATATATAATGTAATGTATTTTATTTTATTTGAAACTGTGATTACATGCAACAAGTTAAAAGTGGTGAGGGTAAAGGGGTTAGAGAGGGGTTAATTTTAGAGTTAGATTAAATAGGGTGTTTGATAGGAATGTTTAGGATCATTGGATTTATGGTTAGAGTGGGGTTAGCTTTTAGATTGGGATACAAGTTATGTTTAGTTTTAAGAGGAGTTAAACCTAAGTTGGAAGAAATATATATTTTTTGAGTGCTTAAAACTGGGAACAATGTAAGGGTTTCTTTAGGTTTTGGGAGGAGTTGAAGTAAAGCACTTACTGTCCTCTGTAGTCCAGCCAGCCTCCTGTAAGTGATAACAGAGCTGCAGTAGTTGTTATATAAGGTGCAGCACTCAATGCTGTCCAGGCTCCTCCTGCTAGGCATTCCCTGTGTGAGAGGCTGTTACTGGGTAGATGGGAAATCAGAACTTCCTGTCCAGCTTCACACACAGACACTGAAGGAGCAGGGACAGCATTGAATTTTAGCTCTGCTATCATGCATAGGAAGCTGGCTGACATGCATAGGCCAAGACTCCTTGTACTTATCTCCCCAGTCCCCACCAGCTCACTTAAAAGTAACACTATAGCATCAGGAATACACATCTGTATTCCTAAGGCTATAGAGTCCCTCTAACTAGAAGTATTAGGTTCTCCCCAGAAGGCTCTCTCGGCATGGCTGACCTCTCCTCCACCGTGAGGGTCCAATCCAATGCTCCTCAGAGAAGCATTGGGGACCTAAGGTGCATGCAAGGCAAATACCAAGCTCATCCAAAATTCCCCATAAGAACCTATGGTGCTTCCGCGTCAAATGTTACTTGGTCTGTGTCAGTATGACAGCCACTACAGGAGTTCTCGAAAACTGCAATGATTTACATTGCAGGAGTAAGGGTTTTAGGGACACTGCACCCAGACCACGTCAAGTAGATGATACAAAAAGGCACATTGTAAGTTCTAAAAACAGACCCCCCCTAATGAACATGCACCTGTAGGCTGGTGGTGACTGTCGATTATGTGATATCCTGCCCTGACTAAACCCTAGACTATATACATCAGTAGTAGCCATACATTAGCTTTCCAACTATTGTAGAACTACAGACCTCATGTTGCATTAAAAACGTGCACAACTACAAGATGGCTTATCCAGGCACCCATTTCTGATCCGAGGGATTATCAGGTGATTACCAATGTTTTTTGAGATTGTTCAAATAGAGCACACGTAAAGGGACACTATAGGCACCCAAGCCGCTTCAGCTCTGCATGAGGACAATCCCACAGGAAAACGTTAATTTAATGCTTTCCTATAGGGATTTCCTAAGGTGTTCACCTCACATGCGCATTAGTTCCCCACGTTGGAGGGGGTGGAGCTCCTACCCAGCGATGAGGAACATCGGCGCTGGGATCAGGTAAGTAAATAAAAGGGGTTTTAACCCTTTATTGGATTGGGAGCACGAGGAGGGAGACAGAGGCAGCTATAGTGTTAGGAATAGAAGATGGTATTCCTAACATTATAGTATCCCTTTAAGATACAACAAACTTTAACATCAATCATTATTAAGCAGGTGTCGCCACCAGGGAACACTTACACAACCAGGTAATCAAGTAATATTAAAATGTACACACATGATCATGTTTTGCTGATAAAAGCAGTATAATTAAAATTGAATCTGTATATCTATACTTGTCTAAGACCAGAATGTCTAACACAATCAGCCAGCCTAAACCACCACTACAGTGAATGTCTTCTTCAATCTTTATCACAGCTCAGGAAGCCTCTCATTGAACGCAAACGGAGAGAGAGGATCAACACCTGCCTGGAGCAACTGAAAGAGACCGTGGTCAGAGTGTTCCAGCTTGATGTAAGCCATTGGTGTAGTATATTCTATCACCACGATTTGCAAAGAAATATAGAATGTGACGGCATATAAGAACCATTCGGACTATCTAGTCTGCCCAATTTTCTAAATACTTTCATTAGTCCCTGGCCTTATATTATAGTTAGGATAGCCTTACGCCTATCCCACGCATGCTTAACCCCTTAAGGACACATGACATGTGTGACATGTCATGATTCCCTTTTATTCCAGAAGTTTGGTCCTTAAGGAATTAAACTCCCTTACTGCACAAAGCACTAACATATACCATGGCACAGCACTATACACACACCATAGGTTCACATAGCAAATTACACAGCACCATTCACACCATAGGTACGAACAGCAAATTACACAGCACTATGCACACCATAGGTACGAACAGCAAATTACACAGCACTATGCACACCATAGGTACGGACAGCAAATTACACAGCACTATGCACACCATAGGTACGGACAGCAAATTACACAGCACTATGCACACCATAGGTACGGACAGCAAATTACACAGCACTATGCACACCATAGGTACGGACAGCTAATTACACAGCATTATGCACACCATAGGTACGGACAGCAAATTACACAGCACTATGCACACCATAGGTATGGACAGCAAATTACACAGCACTATGCACACCATAGGTATGAAGAGCAAATTACACAGCACTATGCTCACCATAGGTATGGACAGCAAATTACACAACACTATGCACACCATAGGTACGAAGAGCAAATTACACAGCACTATGCATACCATAGGTACACACAGCAAATTACACAGCACTATGCATACCATAGGTACACACAGCAAACTACACAGCACTATGCACACCATAGGTAAGGACAGCAAATTACACAGCACTATGCACACCATAGGTACACACAGCAAACTACACAGCACTATGCACACCATAGGTACACACAGCAAACTACACAGCACAGGTATGTACAGCAAATTGCATAATGGTGAGATACCAAAAATAGCTATACTTTTAAAAAATACTAATTGAACAAATTAGGTACAAAATTTACATTTTTATTAGCTCTAGTGTGATACTTATGATTTTGTTTTTTCTTCAAAACCTAACAGGATAATCCAAACTGCCCATCTATTCTGCTTTCACTAAGAGTTCATTTAATTTATGCTACTTTTTAGCTTGTGGCTAGAAACTTTTGGAAAGTCATAAATAAACTTCAAACTCCCCCAATCCACTCCCAACCCTCCACTATCAAAGTGGATAACCAAACCTTGCAACTTCCCTTAGATCTTTATTTAGATCTAACTTTAATTTTAGACAATTATTTTGTCGGATGCTCTACTGCCCTGATTGCCAAACTAATAAATGACACGCATCCTGAAACTACAAATGTGGATCAGGTCCCACTAAATTTGCGAAGGCCCAATACTACTTTGGTTTCTAATTATCGCCCAATATCATTGCTCCCGGTATTGTCAAAATCTTAGAAAAATTTGTCCATATGCAACTATGTGAGTACTACCAACAATTAAACTATCTGACCCCTGATCAATCGGGCTTTCGCCAGAATCACTCCACTACAACTGCCCTCCTAAAAGTTTGCAATGACATCCAAACTGGCATGGAACAAGGAGCCCTAACTGGAGCTATTTTCCTTGATTTTGCTAAGGCCTTTGACACAGTAGACCACAACATTCTACTGCACAAACTCAAAAACACAGGTATTGGTGATCGTTCGCTAACCTGGTTTCGATCGTATGTATCGGATCGCTCGCAATATGTGTCCATTTCTGACAGCGAATCCCTCCCTCTCCCAGTCACGTGTGGTATTCCCCAAGGTTCCATTCTCGGCCCCCTACTATTTACATTATTTATAAATGATCTGCAAATCCTCAAATGTACACATGTACGCAGATGACACAGTAATCTATGCGAGCAAATCCAATTTACCGCAGCTTGAGGCTGTGCTCCAAGACCAGTTTACAGAGGTAGAAAAGTGGATCGCAAAAAACAAACTCTTCCTGAACACGGACAAAAAACTGTCACAATGATCTTTGGAACAGTACCTAAATTACACAAATTACACAATTCCCACCTATCAATCAAAACAAATTCAAATAGCACACTGACCGCAGTCCACTCTTTCAAATACTTAGGTATGATGTTAGACCCCAATCTATCTTTTGGCCTGCACACAGAAAAGCTTGCATCTAAACTTTATCCAAAACTAGGTGCCCTGTACAGAAACAAATCCTGCCTAAGCCCTACAGTAAAGGAAAAGATTGTACAGATGCCAATCATTGATTATGGGGATGTAGAATATGCATCTGCACCGCAATCCCACATTAATAAACTCAACACATTGTATAACTTGTTCTGCCGATTTGTGCTACAATGTAATTACAGGACTCACCATTGTGACATGCTAAAAGAACTAAACTGTCTGTTGCTGGAATCCAGACGCACCCTTCATCTTTCCAGCCTTGTGTTTAAAGGGACAATATAGTCACCTGAACAACTTTAGCTTAATGAAGCAGTTTTGGTGTATAGAACATGCCCCTGCAGCCTCACTGCTCAATCCTGTGCCATTTAGGAGTTAAATCCCTTTGTTTATGAACCCTAGTCACACCTCCCTGCATGTGACTTGCACAGCCTTCCATAAACACTTCCTGTAAAGAGAGCCCTATTTAGGCTTTCTTTATTGCAAGATCTGTTTAATTAAGATTTTCTTATCCCCTGCTATATCAATAGCTTGCTAGACCCTGCAAGAGCCTCCTGTATGTGATTAAAGTTCAATTTAGAGATTGAGATACAATTATTTAAGGTAAATTACATCTGTTTGAAAGTGAAACCAGTTGTTTTTCCATGCAGGCTCTGTCAATCATAGCCAGGGGAGGTGTGGTTAGGGCTGCATAAACAGAAACAAAGTAATTTAACTCCTAAATGACAGTGAATTGAGCAGTGAAATTGCAGGGGAAACATCTATACACTAAAACTGCTTTATTTAGCTAAAGTCATTTAGGTGACTATAGTGTTCCTTTAAGAGTTTTTCTGGGAAACTTCCACCCTACCTGAACAAAATGCGTTCCCCAGCTGTTCCCACTTCATATAACCTCCGATCCAGTACCAACACTTTATTTAACCTACCGCAATACAAAAAGAACGACCTCCCGCACAATTTAAAATCTTCCCTAAGCCTAAAGTCCTTTAAGAGATCCCTCTCTACATACCTCAAAACAGAATGCACCTGTCATGGTTGATTATATATTTCCTACCTGTTCTATGTTAAATGTTGTATTTATTGTGTATTAATATTGGTTTTGTATTTTATTGTACCCTAATGTAACAATGCAATGATTTGTGGACCCAGGACATACTTGAAAACGAGAGAAATCTCAATGTATCTTTCCTGGTAAAATATTTTATAAATAAATAAAATAAATAATTAATGAGTAGCAGGGTTTACTAAATGTAAAATTTCATCAGTAGGAACAGAACATTCCTGGATACCGCTACTTAAATCCAGTTACTAAGTAGTGGTAAGTACTCCTATTATTCTCTACAGGAGATGCCAACCGCTACTTAGCGACTAGTTTCCAAGTGGTTTCTGGACTTGTCACTACTGTTAATGGTTGATGTGAACCAGTCTATTACATAGTTCAAATTAGTTAACGACAGCTAAATCCTTATATACACTACGGAAAAAATATGTTAGCTTAACGGCATTACATAGAAACCTTAAAGCACGTATCAAAACATATTAAACCATAAAATCGAACTGCAAAAGGCCATACACATGCTGTAAAACAAAATTATTCTAGAAAAGTGCATGTTTCTTTTAAATGAACAATAGTTCCATAGAGATGTATCTGTCATGTCACAATATCACTGTTTAATGCACGGTATACAGTGTCCCTATCTGCTGCTAAGGCCAATCACAGGGTGAAGTACACATGCTCTGTTTTTATTTCAAAATAATATATTTATAGCACAAAAACTAACTACATTATTGAGATATTAATAATTAATATATTAATAATATCTTCCAATATAGCATATTATATCTTCCTTTAAAATTTTGAGTGTTAAAGGAACACTTCAAACACCATAACCACTCCAGGACACTGTAGTGTTTGTTTTGCCCCAAAGATAACGGTTTGACTTCTTACTTGGTGGATCACGAGGCACCGCTCCACACCTTCTTTGTGCCGGTGGCTCTCTTTATTCACCAGATGATGCTCTCAGTCAGTGAGCTAGCCCTGCACTGAATGGCTTTGCTCGGTAGAGCTAATGGTAGCTTCTACGCAGAAGCTTCCAGTTTTCCTTCCGGCAGAGAGGAGGCAGGGAGCAGCACCGACGGACTTAAGATAAGAAGTCTAACTATTAATAATCAGTTTGACTATTTACAATGGGGGTTTGTGAGTGCACTCCAGGCAGCATTACCACTGGTACTCCTTAGGCCAGGTTACAATGGGAAAACCGCTGTTGCAAAAAGGCACATCATAATTTCATATGGTCATGAAGTGACAGGAAATGAGCATTCAAGGTGAATATTTGAAAAGTGTTTATGGCAAATATGTTAAACATTGCTATGGCTGCTATGCCATGTTAGTACACAGTACATAGACAGGGGGACACAACATCTGTAGGGCTGTTTCTGGGTTCTCTGGATGACTTTGTTTGATTTTCTTCAAGTGTCAAGTTTGCTGTGAAATACATGCGGTGTCTGTGTTACATTATGTGCAATTGGTATCTATATGTGATTTTGTTAGTAAATTAATAACTCATCATTAGTGATGTCCCGAACGGTTCGCCGCGGACTCATCATTGAGTAACCTTTGACCCTGTACCTCACAGTCAGCAGACACATTCCAGCCAATCAGCAGCAGACCCTCCCTCCCAGACCCTCACACCTCCTGGACAGCTCACTAAGAATGCAGCTTCACAATGGATGCGGTCCAGGAGGTGGGAGGGTCTGCTGCTGATTGGCTGGAATGTGTCTGCTGACTGTGAGGTACAGGGTCAAAGTTTACTCAATGATGAGTCCGCGGCGAACCGTTCGGGACATCACTACTCATCATATCAGATTCCAATGTAATGTGATGTTTTTAAACAATTCACCTCCAATTCCAGTGCTTTTGCATACAGGATTCCCTTTACATTTGCTCTTCATCATACCCTTTACTTGACATGATGTTAGCACAATACGTGCTATGAGTGAATAGTAAAGGGAACCATAAAACATGGTAATTAATGTTGGATAATCCATAGGGGCAAATACAGGCAACGCCATACCAGATAAATGGTAAGGGAAGCAACACAGTGAAGGCCCCTTCTCTTGTTCTTTACCATGTTATTCTGAAATGTGGCCACTAGAAGGCATCATAAGTCCAAGTGTTAAGGTTTTATCTGAAAGACTATTTTTGGGAAACTGTGTAATATGAAACTATAATTCTATACAGAATGCATACATAAATTTCCTCAGAGTGACTAGACCCATTTTAAAACACACTCAACATCCTCTGTTCATGTGTACAACTTGTATTGTTGCAAATACTTGTCTGTTAGTCTAACTGTAGAGTTGGTCAGTACAGTGCTGCGGAATTTGTTGGTGCTTTCTAAATAATAATAATAATAATGGGTAAAAACCTAGGCGTGGGGTCTTGTCATCTTTCACTGATCACTATATTTTCATTTGTACATTTTAGGTGTCAGAAAGTAGATTCCACAGGACCTTAGGCATGGTACCAGTTCAGGGCCTCCCTTCAGTCTTAGTATGTGCCAAGTTTGGGCACGTATATTTGTGGTGCGCTGCCCCTAACACCAGTATGTTAAAGTATGAATCTGGGCATCAGGAACAATACAATGTAATTAATAAGGATTGTGCTCAGGACAATTATGTGGCAGGATTTTAAAAGTTGGATTAAACAGTAGCAACATTCCATTGGTTTCCATGGTGACTTAAATCCGATCTTAAATGGTGGCTCGAATTCCGATCTTAAATAAACTCCCATTGTAGGTTTTAACATTTTTTTAATGAAAGTCGACAAGTTTAACATAGACAGTGAATATGAATACTTCACCGTGACTCCTGAGTAGTTGTGTACTGTCTTTTCAGCAATCTAAGCTGGAGAAAGCAGACATTCTGGAGATGACAGTCAGACATCTGGAGAATATCCAGAAAACAAAAAGTACAGGTAAGACAGATCTCTGGATAAGCATGGAAAAAGATGGTCCTAGCAGACCATGGATTGTGTACTTGGGACTCCAGTGAACCTAAATATGTGACTTTAATGACAATGCCTAGCATTCTGTGAGGTTTATAAACCCCTTTTGTGGCATAATAGCCACATTCATCGATTCCCACAGTTCTCTTCAGTTTGAAGAGTTGTGCTGTGAGCTTGCACTCACAGTAGAACCCCATACCTGACCGGAGTGTGGTGTTCTGAGCAGGGCAGGGCATGCGCATTCATAGAACAATTCCTGCAAGGGAGACTGACATGCAGTGCATAATCATGCCATCCAAAAACTGAATGAATGAGTAGGGCATTTAGACTTCTGCATATGTTGTCAATGGGTAGGTTGCCACAGTTTTAGAAGAAAATTTGACATCATTCAATTTTAGATTTGTAGGGACAGCGTTCTAGAACCATAACCATTACAATAAACTGTGGTGGTTATGGTCATTGGCGTATTTAAAATATATATATATTTTAAATAAAGCACAATCCGTTTATTTATAAGGCATAATACGAAATGAAAGCATCTGTGCCAAAGTACAAAAAGAGGAGCAATCACCCTACACTGTTCTTGTCCACGGATCCAATTTTATAAAAAAAAAATAAATAAAATAAATATATATATATATTTTGCCTAAGGCTTGTGGTAGCAGAAGTAAGGATGTACTGTAGGTGTGCGCAGGGAAAATGCAGATCTTTTCTTAAAGATTCTGCTAAGGATACATCTTAAAGGGAAAGTCTGGGCACCAAAACAGGCTTTGGTCACCTTAAAATTCTGGGGGGTTTTTTGTCTCTTTTAATAGTGTTTGCAAAAAAATTTAATATAAAATGTTTCGCCATAAGCTTGACTCCTAAACCACGTATCTGATCTAAAAAAATATTTGCTTATCGATGTATGTACACAGTTCAGACACTGACAGTAATGAGTGAGTTTAACTACAATAAGCAAAGCGGCCTAATTTAGAAGGGGAAGACATCCAGGCAGACATCCAGTAGGTATATCGCTACATGCATGTCTGTTTCTCTGTCTTTAGTTTGGTGAAATATGGTTGTAGATTAAATGAAGATGTTTCATTGTATTTTTCGAGCATATTTTAGGCAAATAAACTATAACTTGAAGAAGATACCCAGAGCAGGCACCAAATTGTCAGACTTAATCAAAACAAGTATATACTTCCTGTATTCTAGATATACTGTGTGCAGCTAATAGCACTCTATGTAATTATTTGCAACCATAAGGCATTTTCTCTGCCACTAGAGGGTGCTCTATATCAGGTGTTCAAACAAACCACGTTGCAGTACTTCTGGAATCAGTGTAGAACTGAGAAATATACACATACAGAAAACTTATGTCTAAGTTAATAATTTGTAGCTGCATTACAAAATTTAGAATACTAGGCAATATAGAAAAACATTTTAAAATTTAACATTTTAACATTTTGGGATTCAAGTTAAAATTTGTACAGCTAGCTAGTTCCAGGGAAAAAGTGGCTTAACTAATGTAGAGAACGGACTGGTGCCAGAATTCTTTTGCCCCCTTTCCCCCCCTTCAAGCTCCTACCGCAAGGGTGGACAAAAGGTAAATACCATCTTTGTATGGAGAATGTGTGCGTGAATATAGGGCTGTGTTTGTATGTAGTGTCGGCATTTGAATGCAGACATAATTTGGTATGTAATGCTGATTTTTGAATGTTTAGTGTAATTATATATAATGTTGGTGTTTTAATGCAGAGGTGGTGTTGTGAGTAGTGTTGATTTTTGAACAAAGGGGTGTGTTTTTATGTATAGTGTTGGCATTTGAATGCTGAGATGTATGCAAATACACACTGCCGCACATGCAGACAAATAGACACAAATACACAGACATAGAGATACAAACACTGGCACACATACAGACACACAGATGCACAGATACAAACACTGACACACATACAGACACATATGCTAGTCAAAATTAGTCACCCTCTAGTTTAGTACCTTTTGAGTACAAGAGGGTTCCTGGGGTCAGATCTGCTGGTTGAGGCTGTTGAGAGTCAGAGTTTGGCTCTCCTAGTTCATGCCCTCCCTGCCTACTACTCTGTCCTACACTCACTCCCACTTGACTCAGTCTGTGTTATCTGGGAGGAAATCACAGGCTCTCACTTCCTCCCAGCACTGGCTACCGGTATGAGAGGGCCAAGTTGAGCTTTTAAAGAGTGTAACGCATGACCAGGCCCCTCATGACACATGTCCACTGGGTCCCCCTAAGCTCATGGGCCAAACGATTGGACCCCTCATCATTTGGTAGTTCCATCGCTGCTGAAAAGTTCAACTTATTGTATGAAGCGTTAAATGACTGATAAGGGTTAATTTATCATATCTCCCAATAGTTCATATTTTCTAGGAGCTTCATATTGTTGGTGTACAAATTAATAAACTCAAAGCACATATTGTAATATTGCATAGAAAAGATTTGAGGAAGGCTGAATGCTGAAACATTGGGGTGTTCGTGAATCTCCTTCTCGGGGTAAGTATATCCTAGATCTTTTCATATTTTGGATTTGCAGCGAGCACTTTAGTGCCTGGGTCTATGTGGCTGTTTGCATGGTTCATCTTTCTGCATATTTGCACTTAATATTTGTGGGTATATTTTATTTTATTCTGTTCTGTGAAAAATAAGATCTTTTCTATGCAATATTCCAAGGTGTGCTTTGAGTTTATTATTTTCTACGTAATTTATGGACCTTAAAGGGAAGTTGGTTATTTTTCACTTATTAAAGGGACACTATAGTCACCTGAACAACTTTAGCTTAATGAAGCAGTTTTGGTGTATAGAACATGCCCCTGCAGCCTCACTGCTCAATCCTCTGCCATTTAGGAGTTAAATCCCTTTGTTTATGAACCCATGTCACACATTCCCTGCATGTGAGTTACACAGCCTTCCATAAACACTTCCTGTAAAGAGAGCCCTATTTAGGCTTTCTTTATTGCAAGTTCAGTTTAATTAAGATTTTCTTATCCCCTGCTATGGTAATAGCTTGCTAGACCCTGCAAGAGCCTCCTGTATGTGAGTAAAGTTCAATTTAGAGATTGAGATACAATTATTTAAGGTAAATTACATCTGTTTGAAAGTGAAACCAATTTTTTTTTTTTTTTTTATGCAGGCTCTGTCAATCATAGCCAGGGGAGGTGTGGTTAGGGCTGCATAAACAGAAACAAAGTGATTTAACTCCTAAATGAAAGTGAATTGAGCAGTGAAATTGCAGGGGAAACATCTATACACTAAAACTGCTTTATTTAGCTAAAGTAATTTAGGTGACTATAGTGTTCCTTTAAGCACCCTGCACTTTGAAAGCAGCATGTTATGCACACAAATCCACATCTGTAGAGTGCTAGCTATTTTTTGTATGTATATCATATTGTTGGAGGTGTGTCTGAGTGTATACCAGAGCTCACATCAAAAATACTCACAGTAATGTATCTTTAAACTACAATAAGTGTGTTTAGAAATAATTGTGTTATAAATAAAGAATAAAAAAAAATTCTGTTAATAAGATAGTGTTCTTGTTTTTAATTACAATTTAGTTTCATAAATTGTTATTAGAAGTCACCCCAATGTTCTAAGAACAGTACTGCCCCTGGCCACACCAACACGCATACCCTTAAAATTTACGTTTGCTTCTTTATCCGTTTGAAGTGTTGGGAGGTATGATTTATTGAGAGCTTATGTTGGAAGCTCCCTATTTAAGCAACAGCTTGTTCAGGACACACATGTCGATGTGTTCCATCCCAGCAGGACACGCATACATTGTTATTTACTAATGTGAGAATTCAAAGAGAATTTGTAATCCAATGCCACAGTAGCCAAGCTCAAAGCAAAGAGCTGATCTTTGCTATTTTGACCTTAAATTTGAAATTCACTTTGAAGTCTCACTTTCGTGAATTACCCTGACAAGGATAGAAGAGCAAATGCATGGTATACTTTCTGCGATTTCCGCTATTGCTCTATGCATATATTGTGCCGCTAGGTTTTTGATTGTTAATGTTTAACTTGGAATTAAAATAATTAGACCGGTTTTATTTCCTGTGAAAATTTGGGTCCTGAAGCAATGGTTGATTTTATTTAATAAATACATTTCAAACCAATACTGATGATGAATAATATGTAATATTCTATTTATATCTATTATATTTTGACCACCTGATCACTATAAGCAATTCTGTTTTAAAGGAACACTCCAAGCACTATAACCACTACAGACCACTGTAGTGGTTATGGTGCCATCCGATCCCACAATAAGATGTCAAACCATTTTCTGCTCTTATTGCATCTGGTCTTCTTCAGTAGGGTGACCAATGCTCTAGTGGTTATGGTGCTTGAAATGTTCCTTTAAATAGTAATTTTTGAATGATGCTTATAAATTATTTGTATTGACAAATGTATATTTTACATGATGAAAAGAAAAATGTATTTCATTCATAAATGCCATTGCAGTAATATAAAACGTCAAAGTGCTTATTCACGAACATCTAAATTGCCACAATTTAAAATTGCAGAATTTGGGTCAAAATAGCCTAGCTTTGATTACAGCTGAGTTATAGAAATTTTCCATCTCACTTATTGTTGCCTAAATCTTGACATTCAGATTTTATTTTGCTCCCATTATGAGTTTGCAAAATCCCTTAACCTGACAGCAATATTTTTTCTACAAAAATCTATATACATGTGTGTGTATGAGTAGCTCATTGACTCTGGTATATAATTTACGCTTCAGCAGAATTATAAATAGAGATCAAGATATATTTTTTTAGCAGAATGAAAGTAAACACATTTAATCTATTTATTATTATTATTATTAATACTGCTACTTTTTACTGTGGTCCATTTACATGTACAAACTAAATGCATTTATTTACTTTTAAGCCATGCAAATATTGTGGGAAGAAATGGGAAGGGTACATATAAATATAACCATCATTATGTCACCAAACTTTCTATAATCTCTTTATATTGCGGTTTCCTTCCCCAGGTGAGCCTTCTCAGGGTGCAGACACTCAGCAAAGATTCAGCACCGGATACATTCAATGTGTGCATGAGCTGCACAGTTTGTTGATCACCACCGACTGGATGGACCCGGCCCTGGGAGCACGTCTGCTCAATCACCTCCTGACATCTCTCCCTAAGAACAAGGATGTAGCATATGAGCAGGCCCAGCCCTGTAAGGAAGGCTCTCCGGAATCTCCTTTACCAGCTCTGCGTGATTGTGATGCCAAGAAAAGGTCCGCATGCAAACACAGTGATGTGATCAATGAGCAGACACAGTTCCAGCTCATAGGCCCTTTAAGTATGTGGAGGCCATGGTGAGATTGTTCTCAGTTAAAGGGGCCTTGTAGTGGAGAAGGAAGGGAACCACCATATAACAGAGCCTTTCCCCTAACTATCTGTCAGGCAATACCCTAAACCTGTTATTAAGCTCAGAGTCGTCCCTTCAGGTTACTGTGAATAGATGACCAGAGAGTAACCCTACTGTTGGTCATAGATTTTCTTCTCTATAAATTGATATTTGTATCTTATAGATATGCTTTGTTTAACACTTTGGGGCCTGTACCCCGCTAGGTGTACTAAAGACCAGGTGCTTCAGGCTGAAGTCCCAGATTTGTAGCCTGCATTGTAGAAGGCTTATTCACCCCCTATTTATTAAAAATCTCCCCTCATGTAACATTCCTGTTCCTTTTATTACTCAATAAAATTGTGTAAAATATTCTCTCATTTTGTATTTGTAAAGCATATGTGTGTTGTTTTTCCACCGCTCTTGTAAAATTGCCAGCAAATGCATAGATTAAATATTATAATTGATGTTTACATGCTGACCCCTGCTGAGAGCCTAGAGTTAGGCATTATGCCACGTTCAGCATTTTTGGAGCATATAAAGGCACAGACACAGAGCAGCCAACCACCATACGAAGAGTTCATACATCTACGTACAATGTCTGCAGTGTTGTTATCTGCACGTTGACCTAATTCTATTCTGTGCAAAAGAGCCAAACCTTTCCTGCCTCTTCTCAGGCACGAGATCTCCAGTTTGTTATCCAAGTGGTTTATCTGGTTGATACATGTCCCCTTAAAGATGGGAGACAGAACCAGCAAGATTAGCGATCAGAGTTTCCATAACTGTCAATCAACTACAAGAATCAGCATGCCAAGAGTGAGAAATTCTTTGGTAGGCCAGCAAAACCTCAGGACAACAGTGATTACAGATGGTCATCAGAACACAAATTTAATGAAAATACAAATAAAAAATAAATAAAAATGAGTAAGTAGGTGTTTATATCATAAGTGTCTTCATGAAAAGTAAGTTAGGAATGCAAACAATAAGCGCTTGTATCTATGCATGTCATAATGGTACCTGTTAAAATGGATGTCACTATCATTAGTGATTACCGTCTGTTTCCATGCTACTTAAACCAGTTAGTGGCTGATGTAAGTTTTAATGTCTCCCCCTGAGGTTAAAGGGACACTCCAGACAGCTAAACAAGGTAAGCTTAAATTAAAGCTAATAAGCTCAAATACATGTGGTTTGTTTATTTTCTTTCAATTCTGTGTAGTTTTCCTGCAGTGCTGTAAAATGTTTTGCGGTTTTCAGCAGTGTAACCGAGCCTCATTAGCCACCCCCTTTCAAATTTCAACATGTTCCTGATTCCCAGTCTCTGAAAGTAACGTACCTTTTTCAGCCAAGAGAGAGATATAGATAGGTAGATAGCGTGAAAGATATAGATATATATATTTATAGAGAGTGATAGCACAAAGCTCTATAGGTATTTATGAGTTTGTCTCCTTATATTTATTTATAATAAACAAATTATACTATATGATACCTAATGTGGTGAGGAAATGCCTATGTGTGTTATGTAAGTTCTAGTGTCGGAATGCTGTATTTGTAGTGTAACTTAGGTTGAGTACTTCTTGGGCAGACATTGTGGGCGTGTCATTACTGATTCTCATAGAGAATCCCTGTAGCATGGCCATTGGTGGACAGTGCAGCTGAAATACAGGAAGCAGGGAGAAAGCAAAGGGGGAAATGACATGCAATCAAAAGAGGAGCAGAAAATCGTATCAAAGTTACTTCTTAAAGGACCACTATAGTGCCAGGAAAACACTTGTTTTCCTGGCACTATAGTGCCCTGAAGGTGCCCCCACCCTCAGGTTCCTCCTCCCGCCGGGCTCTAGGGGGTGGAAGGGGTTAAACTTACCTCTTTCTCCAGCGCCGGGCGGGGGACTCTCCTCCTCCTCCTCGGCTGAATGCGCATGCGCGGCAAAAGCGCTCTGCACGAAGCTGGGAGGAAGTGACATTCGGTCACTTCCTCCCAAAAAACACAAATAAAAGAGTTACTTGCACCCTATCCATATTTAAATAACTGGAGTGCTCACTCCAATGGCCATTAGATGTAAGCCCACCTGTCACGTCAAAGCAAACCGTAGGGGAGTCCTACACTAACAATTCAACTTACTTCCTTCAGCTTCAGGTAAAAAAAATCTCTAATGAGACAGAGGGGTATTTTTATAAATACTTATTAACCCTTAATAGAGAACTCATGGGGTGGGCGGCAGCACTGTAACATGGCTGTGTGACATTTGTATTTGCCCTTGTACCACACAGCCATGTTACAATGCTGCCGCCCACACCATGTGTTCCCTATTAAGGGTTAATAAGTATGTAGGTATTTAGAAAAAAATTTGAGGTTTAGAAAAATACCCCTCTCTGTCTCGATGGGCACCCTTTGCGTGCGGTCCCCGGTGTGGTTCCTAGTTGAGGTAGCACTGGGGAAACATTTTGTTGCACCCCTGTATGCAGTGACGGCGTCCCAGCACACAGTTTGGGAACCGTTGCAAGGCCTGCACCTGAGTCTATGTCTGAAGGAACCTGTATCCTATATGATGCTAAGATAAGAATCTAGCGAACACTGATCACCTACTACTCCATATCAATATTATAATTAATATTTTGATCATCATATACACCATTTCTTATCCCATACCGCCAAAATAAATTATTTTTCCTTATTGAGCAAAAAGTGCAGCTTTGGGTGACTTCGGTTGTGCCAAGTCTACATGCTCTTTTAACCCTTTGAAGGAGACATGCATCCCTACTAGTGGGCCAAGGTTAATTGAGTCACAGATCCAGTAAGCTCCATGATTTAATTTTTTTTATTATTTGGACTAATGTTATATTCTTTCTTAAAGTAGCCATCAATGGATATAAAAAATGAAGTATATATATCAGTAATTATGAAAGGTTTCGTGTAGAAGGTGCTATCTACCACAACCACTTTAAAGTGTTCTACTTTACATTAAAGGGATTCTGTAGTGTAAGGAGTACAAAGTTGTATTCCTTACAATATAACTCCTTCTGATCTCCCTCCTTCTGCGCCCTCAGCATTGAAAGGGTTACATTTCTGTATTCACCCGATTCCAGTGCCGATCTCCCTTGGCACTGGGCCAGCGCTTTGCTTCCCTGATGTCACCCAACAGGACGGCTTATGCGAATTCGCGGTGAGTGCATTAGGCCCTCCCCACAGGAAAATTGCTTCATGCAGAGTGTGAGGACATCTAGCGTCAGTTATTTGCAAAAAGAGAAAAAATTAACCGCTCTCCAATCACGTGAAGATCCGGGTTGACAAAGACCCTATCAGGGGTCGAAACGTTGCGGCGTCTCACTTGTCCCAATAAACACATTTGAAGATTCTAGGAGTGCCTGGATCCTCTTTCTACTACTGATATGTTAGGCGAAAAGCCACCTAGTAAGCAGGAAGTGGAAGTGCTTAGTCTTAGTCCTGCAATGTTATTATTGCAGTTTCTATAAAACTGCAATGATTTACATTGCAGGACAATGAGATAAAAGTGGTCTGGGTGTCTGTAGTGTTTCTTTAACCTGTTAAACCAGTTCACAATATTACACAACACAGGTCTGGTCATGTCTCAGCATCTTCATCTGTCCTGGCTTTTTGTCAGCGCAAAAGACAATTTCTGGGGGGCGGAGCTAACCACAAGCCGGACCGGACACCAGACCCGGCGAAATTTGCCTTCCAACGCCGGCCACACACACTGTTCCCGACCCAAACCACCCTCAACTGACAGGGGGAGCCGTGCTGGGTCCATCGTTGCCCTTCTTCCAACCTTTAAGGTGCATAAGCAGCGGGGCCAATCTGGGGCCTCCTACTCCTGGCCCTCACTAGCTGGGAATCACTTCCTCCGTGAATTTGAGGACCCAGAAAGGGGCTCCGTGCCTCTAACCGAGCACACACCAGCCATGGGGCGCCGCTCACAAAAACAGGGGCTGGAATCCCACCTGAAACAAGGATATCGGGGCCATGCTGCAGAGGCAAGTACCACACAAGATGGCACTAGCAGAGGGCATCCACAGAACACACACCAGTACTCGAGTGGAGGGACAGGGTGCACAGAGTCCCGCAGTTTCCCAAGGGTCACAGACTTCCACAGGCTCCCAAACTGACCAATCCACTCCCATGGACACCAAACATGACCTACTCCAGGATATCCATAAAATGATGGCAGCAGATACCGGTATCATCTGAGCAGCAGTGGCGTCACTAGAATTGGTGTCACATGGTGCAGTAATTCATGGTGTCACCCCAACCCCCTTAATAATGTGTAAGTTGTAGTGGTTCTGGTGATTACAGTGTGTCCCTTTAATGGGAGGTAAAATAAAGATTAGTGCCACTAATATACTGGATTGCCTAGTTACCACCAGATGAGGACTGTTTGTCTTAGCCCCCCTGTCCCTTAGTGTTCTCCTTGTCTCCCCTCCTCTCCCTTACTTAGAGGTCTCCCCTGTCACTTAGTGCTCTCTCCTCCCCTCCCCTCATGGTCCTGCCTCTCCCCCCCATCTTAGTGTTTCTCCCTACTTAGTGGTCCTGTCTCTACCCCAACTCCTTAGTGGTCCTCTCTCTACTCCTTCCCCGCACCTCTTAGTGGACCTACCACTCCCCCACTGGTCCTACCTCTCCCTACCATCCCCCTTTAGTGGTTCTCACTCCCTCCCCCCCACCCACCCCCTTTCTTGGTGGTCCTCCTCTTCCCTCCCCCCTTGTGGCTACTACCAATCTCTGTAGCGTGGCCGGGCGGCACAAGTGGCGGGCCGCGGTACAGGAGCTTCTGTTTCCTGTACCTGGCTGGACTGACAGGAAAGGCTCTCTCAGTGAGCACTTCCAGTCAGTCTGGCTGGGTTCAGGAAACTTATGCTCCTGTACCGCAGTCCGCCATGCTACACTGAGTGACTGGTAGGAGGGAGCGCTAAGCGCTTCCCTCCTACCGGGTCACTCAAATCCTGCGCCCCCGGCCGGTGCGCCCTAGGCAACTGCTTATGTTGCCTATGGGACACGCCGGCCCTGGGTGTCACCCCTCTGTGATGCACACCCTGGTGCGGTCCGAACCCCCCGCATGAGTCCACTGATGTGAAAAAAGTCACAGCCAGAGTTCAGAATGCAGAGGATGAAATTACTAACATACACAGTGGCATGGTACTTTGCAGTAACTTTAATCAAACCAACAAACACTGGTGACAGCTGTCAACCATGGAAGACAGAAACCGACGCAATCAAATAAAAATCCGGGACATCCCTGCCACGATCTCGACTGACGAGCTACCACATTATCTGAGACGCCTCCAGGCATTGCTCTTACCTCCTGCTGTGGCTCGGAAGATTGTCCTGGATGGAATATATCGTCTGTCTACCTCGCTAAAAACATCACCCACTCAGACACGAGACGTAATTCTCAAAATGTTCTTTATCTCATGACGAGGGGCACATCATGTCAGCACGGAGGGGCAAGACACCGCTCTCTCTCGGATTCACAGTTATCCTTTTACCAAGATCTAACCAGAGCCACACTACAATGGCGCAAATCCCTCATCACTCGTCTCTCCCACAAACCATACAGATGAGGAGAGACAAGATCCCTATTAGTGACCCACAAGGGAACAACCCATTCAATCACTTTAGCAGAAGCACCAAATCTTCTCTCTTCGCTGGGATTATTGGGGCCGACCTCAAGCACAAACCTGCAAGCCTCAACTAGCACCTGGGACCCGGCCACAGTGGTACCCTTCACTCCAAGGGATGTAGCGAGAAGTCGACCTGACACCTGAATGCGACTAGTGCTGACGCTTCATGTGCTGGCCTTGCAGAGTGTTCTGAACCCAATTTGTTTATCTGTTGTTGTTTATTTTCATGTTCATTTCTCTTATCTCCTTCTCTTTTGTTTTCAATGTTCTAACTACAGCACCGCAACCCTGACATGGGCCTTAGACCTTCACCCACCATACGTGGGGAACAACTAAATACACAAGTTAGCGCGATGAAACATGCAATTGCTACTAATGTTGGAAAGGCATTCCCCCTCCCTGCTGCCCCCTTGGTTAGGGGTAACAATGCAAGGGCAAATACGTCACTCAACACCTGGGGCTACACCGACTCATGCGTTCCTTCTAGTTTAACCCACCTACGGCTCATCAGAACCTCACATATAATTTTCCAAGCCCTGCATAACTCCAAAATGCTAGACAAACATATTACATGACCTTCACATACCTACCATACCAGCACGTCTTACACTTACTCACCATGTAGTGCCTTTCACCCTAACCCACAAAATACTCTATATTTACTCATAAACCAATCCTCAAAAGCAGGACACATTCCAGTTACAGATACAGTTCTTGTCTATATCAAAACAAAACAAAAAGTGCATCTATTCATTGATGTCTATGTTATTTTTTGAACAACTCATTGCTTGAACTACTGACATGTTTTATAGGAAAGATGGGGAAGGCAAGAAAGGGGGAGGGGTGGCCTTGTATGTGAAGGATAGCATAAAATCTAGCCTAATAAAAGTTAGTGAGGCAAACATAGAGTCCTTTTGGGCTACGTTAGAATTTGGTAATCACACAGTAACTCATGTAGGTGTGATTTATAGGCCCCCAGGACAAATTGAAGGGTTAGATAATCTACTAGTTGAGGAAATAGCTAAAATGACAATGAAGGGGGAAGTTATCCTCATGGGTGACTTTAATCTTCCTGATGTAAATTGGAAAACAAAATTAGCTACTTGTGCCAGGAGCACACATATTCTAAACTCCCTACTGGGATTGTCTCTAAAACAAGTTGTTGAGGAGCCAACTCGTAAAGAGGCCACACTAGATTTAGTGTTAACAAATGGAGATTTGGTATCAGATATTACTGTAGTTGAAAGTTTAGGATCCAGTGATCATCAGTCAGTGTGGTTTAATATAAGAACAGTGACGGAGTCACACCACACAAAAACAAAAGTGACTATAAAAGCAGACTTTTCTAAAATTAGAATATGGGTAGAGTAGTCATTATCAGACTGGAGCAATTTAAATGGAGTCCAAGAGAAATGGGATTATTTAAAAGTTGCACTATTGAAGGCAACAGAAAATTGCATTAGGCTTGTCAGTAAAAGCAAAAAATTCAAGAAATCACTGTGGTACTCCACAGATGTGGCCAAAATAGTTAAAAACAAAAAGTTAGCATTTAGGAATTATAAAAAAAACCAGAGTGAGGAAGACAAAATGATCTATAAGATTAGGCAGAAAGAGGCTAAGCAAGTTATAAGAGCTTCCAAATCACACACAGAAGAGAAAATAGCACAGTCAGTAAAAAAGGGGGATAAAACATTTTTTAGATACATAAATGAGAAAAGAAAAGTAAAACAAGGATTAGTTAGATTAAAAACAAAAGAAGGAAGGTATGTAGAAGAGGATAAAGATCTAGCTGACTGCCTCAATGAATATTTTTGTTCTGTATTTACAGATGAAAATGAAGGAAAGGGACCTCAGTTGAGAAAAAGGATAAATGAGTCATTTATTACACATGAGTTTACAGAGGAAGAGGTTCTATTTCAACTGTCAAAAGTAAAGACAAATAAGTCAATGGGACCTGATGGAATACACCCAAAGCTATTAAAAGAGCTTAGTGGTGTACTAGCAAAACCATTAACAGATTTATTTAACCAATCATTGTTAACAGGAGTAGTCCCAGAAGATTGGAAGTTAGCGAATGTTGTGCCCATTTACAAGAAAGGTAATAGGGAGGAGTCGGGCAACTATATGCCAGTAAGCCTTACTTCAGTAGTGGGGAAAGTGATGGAAACCATGCTAAAGGATAGGATTGATGAACATCTAAACACATGGATTTCAAGATCAGAGACAACATGTGTTTACTTCAGGGAGATCATGCCAAACTAATCTTACTGATTTTTTTGATTGGGTAACTAAAATTATAGATCAGGGTTGTGCAGTAGACATTGCTTACCTAGATTTCAGTAAGGCTTTTGACACTGTTGCACATAGAAGGCTTATCAATAAACTGCAATCTTTACGTTTGGATTCAAATATTGTTGAATGGGTAAGGCAGCGGCTGAGTGACAGGCAACAGAGGATTGTAGTTAATGGAATATATTCGAAGCTTGGACTTGTCACCAGTGGGGTACCTCAGGGACCTGTACTTGGACCCATTCTCTTTAATAATTTTTATTAGTGATATTGCAGAAGGTCTTGATGGTAAGGTATGTCTTTTTGCTGATGATACTAAGATATGTAACAGGGTTGATGTTCCAGGAGGGAGAAGCCAAATGGCAAATGATTTAGGTAAACGAGAAAAATGGTCAGAATTGTGGCAACTGACATTTAATGTGGATAAGTGCAAGATAATGCATCTTGGACATAAAAATCCAAGGGCAGAGTACAGAATATTTGATAGAGTCCTAACCTCAACATATGAGAAAAGGGATTTAGGGGTGATTATTTCTGATGACTTAAAGGTAGGCAGACAATGTAATAGAGCAGCAGGAAATGCTAGCAGAATGCTTGGTTGTATAGGGAGAGGTATTAGCAGTAGAAAGAGGGAAGTGCTCATGCCATTGTACAGAACACTGGTGAGACCTCACTTGGAGTATTGTACACAGTACTGGAGACCGTATCTTCAGAAGGATATTGATACCTTAGAGAGGGTTCAGAGAAGGGCTACTAAACTGGTTCATGGATTGCGGGATAAAACTTACCAGGAAAGGTTAAAGGATCTTAACATGTATAGCTTGGAGGAAAGACGAGACAGGGGGGATATGATAGAAACATTTAAATACATAAAGGGAATCAACACAGTAAAGGAGGAGACTATATTTAAAAGAAGAAAAACTACCACAACAAGAGGACATAGTCTTAAATTAGAGGGACAAAGGTTTAAAAATAATATCAGGAAGTATTACTTTACTGAGAGGGTAGTGGATGCATGGAATAGCCTTCCAGCAGAAGTGGTAGAGGTTAACACAGTAAAGGAGTTTAAGCATGCATGGGATAGGCATAAAGCTATCCTAACTATAAGATAAGGCTAGGGACTAATGAAAGTATTTAGAAAATTGGGCAGACTAGATAGGCCGAATGGTTTTTATCTGCCGTCACATTTTATGTTTCTATGTTTCTATTGTTCGTGTATTCTATACCTGCACGACAAAATTAAAGAATTATAAAAAGACCACAATTTCTATGCGGTCAGCCACAGAAATATAATATCCACGAAATGTGGCATTAACTGGCATATTTCATCATCTCATTTTACAAAACACAAAAAGTTTAAATGGACTATAATGGCACTATAATCCATTTCATCTAATTAAATTGTTTATATAGCTAGGAATTCCCTGGCACAGTCTCTTCTTTCAGTGTAAAATCATTTTGGAGCATTTAAACACTAAATGAGGGTCCCTAGTCACCAACAGCCCAACCCAAACTAGAATTATGGCTAGGGCAGAGATTACAATCTTCCTGCAAGCAGTCAGCTGACAGCTGACACTCTTACCGAATTACCAATGCTCATTGCTGCTCAGGTTAATGACTCCTCATTACTCAAGCAGTACAGAGCAAAGGGGCTGACAAGGACACTTGTTTAGCAATAAAACATTAAAGGAACACTCCACTGCCCACATGTGGTGGAAATTAAGTCACTGTTTAGTAGATATACCCCCAATGAATTAAAGAGCTTGCAAAGGCTGCAGATCTTCTGAAAAGCAGCCTTGGCGAACCTTCTCCTTTTTCCCCCCAGAAGAGACATATCTCCACAGGGAAATAACCAGAGTCTTCTCATGAGAAGCCTCTTAATTGGTGCACCCACATCTGGTCTGAGGTCTGTGTGGGAGGACTGTAACGAGAATATACCCCAACACGCAGGATTCAGCTAAACAAAAGACAACACAGAGGAGAGCTACGTCTACCGGACCTTAGAATGGCCGGACTCGACGTATATGAGAGGAGACAGAGTCAGGAACAATCCGAAATCAAGGGCACAGAGAGACAGCGTAAACTAGGACAAGCCGGGGTCTGGTACACAGTAAACAACAAGCCGACAACCAGAACAGATAAGGATAAAGAGAAAACGTAGTCAGAAACAAAGCCAAGGTCAATACGGAGAAACACAACTGAACACAACAAGCGCTAAAGGGAACTGATACAGAAACCACGATAGGGCAAGGAACAAAAGAAAGAAGGTGAGTATAAATACCTAAACATCTAATTTGATTGGTCCCTGTCACATCCACGCCCCCAAAAGGTAAGTGTATGGGGAGTGTGGCATGACAGGGACCAATGGGATGCCTTTTCCAATTTAGGCACCCACTGTCCCTTTAAGAGCGCGCCCGATACCCGCGGCGCGCTCTTAGAGTTAGGTGGAACACGTGACCGCTTTCCAGTCACAGCCGTCGGAGCCGCGCGCGGCTCGTGCAGCAGCAGGACCGCGCGCGGCTCGAACAGAGGACCCCGGCCGGCCCCTGGAAAGGGTAAGTACCGCTACATTAACCCCCCCTGAGGACACGCCCTCCGGGCGGGGAGGGCCAGGCCTGGCAGGAAAACGAGAATGGAAAGAGCGCACAAGACGAGGAGCGTGAACCGCATCAGCGGAAATCCAACTATGCTCCTCAGGCCCATAGCCCTTCCAATGCACTAGGTACTGAAGTCGGCCCCTAAGGAAACGAGAGTCAAGAACTGCAGAAACTTCAAATTCCTCATGACCCTCCACAGAAACAGGAGGGGGAGGAGGTGCATGTCGGGTGTAGCGGTTGCGTATGAAAGGCTTTAACAACGAGGTGTGAAAGACATTAGGAATACGCAGATTCTTAGGGAGACCCAAGGCATACGAAACAGGATTAACCTTATGCAGAATACGATAAGGACCAATAAAGCGGGGAGCCAACTTCATAGAAGGCACCCGGAGGCGAATGTTTCGCGTAGAAAGCAGAACCCTGTCCCCCACAACATAAGAAGGAGCCGCCCTGCGATGCTTGTCAGCCTGCACCTTCTGGCGAGCAGCGGAATCCACCAAAGAACGCTGAACCTGCTCCCAAGTATTACGCAAATTAGCCAAATGTTCATCCAGAACTGGCATGCCCTGTGAGGAGAAAGCAGCCGGAAGAACAACAGGATGTTGGCCATATACAACGTAAAAAGGACTCTTGCCGGAAGAATCATGAGTAGCGTTATTCCGAGCAAACTCAGCCCAAGGAAGAAGGTCAGACCAATTGTTCTGATGGTGGGATACGAAACAACGAAGGTACTGCTCCAGAGATTGATTGGCACGTTCGGCAGCTCCATTAGACTGGGGTGGTAAGCGGAAGAAAATGAGAGAGAAATACCCATTTCCGAACAAAAGGCTTTCCAGAACCTGGAAATAAATTGGCTACCCCTATCAGATACAATAGATACGGGAATGCCGTGTAATCGAAACACCTCTCTGGCGAAAACAAGTGCTAGTTCCCTGGACGTGGGCAGCTTGTGAAGAGACACAAAGTGAGCCATCTTGGAAAACCGATCCACTATCATTAGGATAACTGTGTTACCATTCGAGGGAGGTAATTCAACAATAAAATCCATGGACAGGTTAGACCAAGGTCTCTCGGGAATAGGTAACGGATGCAACAGCCCACAAGGAACCCTACGAGAAGATTTCATACAGGCACAAGTAGTACAAGCACCTATATAGTCAGTGACATCCTTGCGTAAGGAATCCCACCAAAAATACCGAGAAACTGCTGACACCGTTTTGGAAATACCAGGATGTCCAGCAGTCTTAGTGTCATGATACAACGACAGAATCTCCCGTCTCTCGGGAACATCAACGAATAGTTTATCAGTAGGTCTCTCGCTAGGTGCCATGTTTTGTTTCGCTTGTATGGCCTGCAAGAGGGACGAAGAAATAGACAAAACAGTGGTAGCGATTATCCTTTCTGGGGAAATCACAGGAGTAACATCAATCTCCTGTTTGTCAGCAGTTTCGAACTGTCTGGACAGAGCGTCTGCTTTAGTGTTGCGGTCACCTGGCCTATAGGTGATAATGTAATTGAAATGGGACAAAAATAGTGACCACCTAGCCTGCCGAGAAGACAGTCTTTTAGCCTCACTAAGGTAGGATAAGTTCTTATGATCCGTAAATATGAGAATAGGATCTTTAGTTCCTTCTAACAAATGTCTCCATTCTTTCAGTGCTAAAATAATAGCAAGGAGTTCGCGATTACCCACATCATAATTCTTTTCTGCTTTGGACATTTGTTTGGAGAAGAAGCCACAAGGATGCAATGGTTTTTCAGGCGACTCTCTTTGGGATAAGACAGCACCTACCCCGATATCAGAAGCATCAACTTCAAGAATATAGGGCAGTGTGGGGATAGGGTGCTGTAAAATAGGTGCAGAAGCGAATGTGGTTTTAAGAAACTCAAAAGCCTGAAGTGCCTCGGGAGACCAGACACGAGTATTGCCTCCCTTTCTTGTCATACGGGTGATAGGCGCTACAATAGAGGAAAAACCTTTAATAAAGCGTCTATAATAATTAGAGAAACCAAGAAAACGCTGAATGGCTTTCAAACCTTGTGGAAGAGGCCATTCCATGACAGCAGAAAGCTTCTGGGGATCCATACGAAAACCTTTAGCGGAAATTAAATACCCCAAAAACTGGACTTCGGATTGGTCAAATAGACATTTTTCCAGTTTACAATAAAGACCATTAGCAAGAAGGGTCTTCAGAACTGTCGTAACATGCCTGTGATGAGTGTGTAAATCTGTAGAGTATATTAATATGTCGTCTAAGTACACAATTACAAATGTGTGAATAAAGTCTCTTAAAACGTCATTGATAAATTCTTGAAATACTGCTGGGGCATTGCATAGACCAAATGGCATAACAGTATACTCGTAATGGCCAGATCTAGTGTTGAATGCCGTTTTCCATTCGTGGTCTTTCTTAATACGTATTAAATTATATGCACCTCTAAGATCCAATTTAGTGAATACAGTAGCATGTTTGAGTCTGTCAAATAATTCTGTGATCAAAGGTATAGGATATGCATTTTTGATGGTGATTTTATTTAGACCTCTATAATCGATACACGGTCTTAAATCACCTTCTTTCTTTGATACAAATTTAGGATCTCCTAATAAACCCCTTTTCTAATGATTCCTTAATATACTCCTCCATGACACGGTTTTCTTGAACAGATAAAGGGTACACCCTGCCCTTTGGAGGTATTGTGCCAGGCAATAAATCGATAGCACAATCGTAGGGTCTGTGAGGTGGTAATTTGTCAGCCTCCCTTTTATCGAAGACAGTTTTGAGAAATAAGTACTGAGAGGGTATAACAGTGGACAAAGGAGGAGTTGTAGGGACATTAATAGAATTCAAAGGGGTGACTTCAATAGTACAGGACTCATGGCAGGCATCGCTCCATGATTTTATTTGCCCTGACTCCCAATCGAAAATGGGATTGTGAGTACGTAACCATGGGTACCCTAACACAATGTGAGAAGAGGGAGATGTGATAACCTGGAATTGAATGGTTTCAAAGTGTAAAACCCCTGTATACATGTGTAATGGTACAGTTTCATGAGTAACAATTGGAGAACTTAATGGTCTACCATCTATGGCCTCAATGGCCAAGGGTATCTCCCTTTCTCTGACGGGAATGTTATTTTTCGTAACAAACTCAGAGTCAATAAAGTTCTCAGCAGCCCCAGAATCAACCAAGGCTAATATGCATTCTGCTATACAACTCACCCCCATATGAAGGGAAACAGGGAGAAGCAAACGATTAGGAGGCAATTTAGGAGACTTAGAGATCACACCCAAGGCCAGTCCCCTATAAGGTCTTAGGTGCGAGAGTTTTCCGGACGCAAAGGACATTCCCTTACCATATGGTCTCGCCTACCACAGTATAGGCAGAGTCCATTCCTTCTTCTAAGTAGTTTTTCAGTATCCGAGAGTTTGGCAACCCCTAATTGCATGGGTTCCTCCTCGGGTACTTTAACACTCTCAGGTTTATCAACTCTAGGGTTAATAGATGTGACCAGACGTCTATTCTTGTTTTTGGTATAGAGCCTGTCGCGAATTCTATTATCTATATCAATGAGGTAGTCAATAAGATCCTCTAATGGAATAGGAAGCTCCCTTGCCGCTACCTCATCTAATATAGTGTCAGATAAACCTTCCATAAACGCAGTAGTTAACCCATTATTGGTCCAATCTACCTGTGAAGCAAGGGTACGAAACTGAATAGCATAATCCGCCACAGACCTAGACCCCTGTTTAATCCTCATTAATGCTCTTGCGGCATTCTTTGACCTCTTTGTTGTGTCAAAAGTTCTACGAAAAGCCGCAAGAAAACTATTGAAATCATGAACCATAGGTCCATTGGCCTCCCAAATAGGATTTGCCCACTCTAGTGCTTTGTCAGTAAGTTGATGCATCAAAAACCCCACTTTAGACCTATCAGTGGGAAAGGAATGAGGATACATCTCAAGGTGGAATTCTATTTGATTAATAAAACCTCTGCATGTCTTGGCTTCCCCTCCATACCTAGGAGGAGGTGTTAAATGGGGCGAAGCATTGGTTGAATTGGATACTTCGGGAGGATGAGGTGTAGGAGGGTTCGGTGCGGTTGCAGGAATGGTTCTAGACAAGAGCGTCTGGAGAGCCTGTGCTATCTGATCCATACGGTGATCCTGCTCTACAAACCTTGCCTCGTGAGAAGCCATTTGCTGAGCCAAATCTGCGGGGTCCATGGCCCTATCGTAATGTAACGAGAATATACCCCAACACGCAGGATTCAGCTAAACAAAAGACAACACAGAGGAGAGATACGTCTACCGGACCTTAGAATGGCCGGACTCGACGTATATGAGAGGAGACAGAGTCAGGAACAATCCGAAATCAAGGGCACAGAGAGACAGCGTAAACTAGGACAAGCCGGGGTCTGGTACACAGTAAACAACAAGCAGACAACCAGAACAGATAAGGATAAAGAGAAAACGTAGTCAGAAACAAAGCCAAGGTCAATACGGAGAAACACAACTGAACACAACAAGCGCTAAAGGGAACTGATACAGAAACCACGATAGGGCAAGGAACAAAAGAAAGAAGGTGAGTATAAATACCTAAACATCTAATTTGATTGGTCCCTGTCACATCCACGCCCCCAAAAGGTAAGTGTATGGGGAGTGTGGCATGACAGGGACCAATGGGATGCCTTTTCCAATTTAGGCACCCACTGTCCCTTTAAGAGCGCGCCCGATACCCGCGGCGCGCTCTTAGAGTAGGTAGAACACGTGACCGCTACTAGTTACAGCGGTCGGCTGAGCCGCGCGCGGCTCGAACAGAGGACCCCGGCCGGCCCCTGGAAAGGGTAAGTACCGCTACAAGGACACAGGCGCGCTCAGGGGAGATAATGTAAGGAGGGCGCAGACCTCCCTGGCCGTTTGACTGACAGTCAGGGGGGTTGCTCCCTAGTTAATTTCTCATAGAAATCAACACTTTTATACACGGATGTTAAACTAGGATACTCCTTACCCATAAAGCACTTCAGCAAGTCCTCTAAAAACAGACTTTGGCCAAACATTGGACGTGTTTCTTGTTAGCTCCTGGTAACTCGAATTATAATAGTGATTTCAAAGCCTCAATCCAGCTACCTACAATCAAGAATTGAAAGTTGACTAATCCTGGGGCCAGCTACCACTCATTTAGCCTGATCTGCAAAGCCTTATACCGACGGGTACCCACCAAGCTTGAATCCCTAAAAACGGACGGCCTGGCTGCCAATTTCCCAGTCTGGGACCTGCACACTGTTTGGACTGGTAGACAGCCTTACACAAGATGGAGAGCTGCAACACGGGACCCAATCTGCACAGCTACAGATGCGTGGCGTTACAGTTAAGATGGCCGCCACACAGGCATCTGAACTCCTGGCCTTCTACGAAGCCATTGGAAGGCTTTCGAGCAGCTGTGGACCCAGTTCTGGGCAAAAGTCACTGCAAGGGTGCAGACACAGGCGGCAACTCACACACCTCGGAACATACCAGCCAAACCTGTTTGCACCAATGCACCTTGTGACGGACCGCTTGGCAGCCCGACTGGGTACCTCCGCCAATCGATACTCCTAGTGCTCAACGAGGACTCCAAGCACTCCATCAGGCACCATCAGCACTGTAGACTACCACAAAAAGCCGCAGCTTGGTTGGGAGATCTCGCGGGCCCTCCACTCACCCTGGACCCAAGACCAGGATCCAGCTTCCAGTGGGTTAACCTCTCCTACTCCAGACAGTATAGCAGGAACAGCTCTTATAAGAGCTAGTGATTATAATTCCAGGGAGTATAAGGAGTATAGCAATCCCCAGAGTGAATATAGTGGTCCCCCCCACACAAGACGAGGCTCTATGTTGAGGGTGAAGAGGAACTGATTTTAATGGTGCCACACTTGGCCATTTATGACAATCCCCATGCAAGGTGCACTTCCACATGGACCTTGTGGGGAACTCCGTTACAAAGTCACAGACCAATAATACCAGTGTTACAATGCATGACACTCCCATATACAATACAATAAGCCTTAACCTTTACTTAGGAGATAATGGAGTCAAGCACTATACTAAACTCAATTATCTCCAAACACAAAAAACCCACACATTTTTACAAAAACCCTAAAACACCTTCAAACACATAACATCCCCACAAGTTACATCCCCTGATAGCCTTGATCTGGGTAACTAACATATCCAAAAATTACCCAGATCAGTTCAGGGGTTCAGGAATTTCCTGGAAGTCAGTTTTTACCAACCGCACGTATGGTCCCATGCCCAAAATGGTTCCATAGAATCGCGGCTAGGTGCCGCTGGGGGACCGACCGGAAACCGCAAAGTCTTCATACCGAAAATAGTTCCAGGGCATTTGCGGCTAAGTCCCCCGTAAGTCTATTCGCTGTTTTGGTCCATGCGAACGGCCGCCATGGAGCTAGCATTCGGTTCTATGGAAAGTGCAGAACCAGGGGAAACAGGGGAAATAAAATATGGGTCTTTACAGTCGGTGACTTGGCCCGTAGTCTTTTGGCAGGGGGCTGGCCAACAGGCCCCTCCAAGCACCAGGGACATGGTTCAGTTCGTCACATTTCTCCCCCCCAAGGGAAGACTAACCAGGTACCTGACCTTCTGTCGGTCGGCACCTGAGTTAGTCGAGTAGCCCACCGATACACAACTACTTGACCTGGTGGACTCAGGTGTCCGGATCTGTACTGTATGTCCCAGGTTGCTGAGTGGGTGTCCGTCACCCCTGACCTCCCTTGTGCTCCCAGGCATGGAGTTGTGAGTACTTGGTGGGCAGAGGCCAGCGTGACAGCTGAGTAAGTCAGAGGGTCATCCGATCCGGGACTGATGACACGGGGAGGGCAGAGGACAGCTGCGCTCTGCCCTGTTGCCAGCACTTCTGCTGGGGTGGCCTGTGGATATTCAGGCCTTGGACAAAGGGAAAGGGGAGGGCAGAGGCTAACTGCTCTATGCCCGTGTGCCAGCTCTTCCGCTGAGATGACTGGTACATAGTCTTGCCCTGTAATAAGGGGGCAGGTAAGGCAGAGGCCAGCGGCAGTCTCATCCACTAACCCCAGTACCCGGTTGGGAATTGGCTGTGGAGAGGAGGGATCGCCTACCTCCTCCTCCTGGTATTCCTGCGGGGTTGTTTGGGGATCTGGACCGGCCGTAAGTCTGGTGCAGAGGCCGAGGTCCCATCTGCACCATTGGAGTCAGGGGTGCTTTCCCCCTGTAATTGGCTCTCTTCTTCCTGTATATCCGGCTGCCGCTGGGGAGCGAGACCGGCTGTCTCCACTCCGTGTTGCACACTGCCGCTGGTGAGCGAGACCGACCGTCTCCACTCCCTGTTACTATCTGCTGCTGCGAGAGGATGCTATGCTCCTCTTCCTGTAATGCATACTGCCGTTGTGGAGAGGGACCGGCTGTCTCCTCTACCTGTAAAACACTGCTGCTGTGGAGTAAGACAGACTGTTTCCACTTCCTGTAACTCACCCTGCCGCTGGGGATGGAGGGCGATACTCTCCTCTCTCTGTGACTCTGTCTGCCGCTGGGGAGAGAGAATGACTGTCTCTTCTCCCAAACACACTCTGCCACTGGGGAGGAAGGACAACACCTTCCGCTCCCTGTACTGCAGACTGCTGTTGGGGAGTGAGACTGATTGTCTCCACACCCTGTAGGATACACTGCCGCTGGGGAGAGAGACCAACCTCTCTTCTCCCAATAGCATACTCGGCCGCTGGGGAGTAGGACCGACTGTCCCTACTCCCGGTAACTCTGGCTGCAGCTGGGGATCTTGGCCGGCTGCCTAGCATCCCTGTTGGGCCGGTGGAGAGACTTCAGTCCCATCTCCACCTGCCAGTTGGGGTTCCTCACAGGACCAGCCTACTTTGGGTACCTCCGGCTGCTGCTGGGGAGACAGGCTAACATCCTCTGACGTAAAGTCAATTAAATTGGTGGGCGCCTCTTCTGAGATCAGTTGCACCACCTCTGCCGAAGGGCTGGTGCAATCCTCCTTTCGCTGGAGACTTCCTCCCCTCGTTTTAGACATTAGGAACTCGTGGTCTCTCTTGGCTTGTCTCTCAACGGTCACCTGGTTCTAGATCGCCTGGAAGGTCTCCATCAACACATTAGTGCCATACCAGGCCAGTCGCTGCCGCACCTCAAACAGCAACTCTAAGCAAGAGTTAGAGGATGCCATGCTTGCTTGCTCCAAGTCTGTGGGCACCTCTGCTTCCAGGGGTGCTGCATGAATGCTAGCGTTGCCCTCAATATAATCCACTTTACCAGTGTCTCCAGGATGCTTCTCCTTGCAGTAGGAAGCCTTCTCACCGCTGCCATCAAATGCCTTGTGGTGGGGAAGGCGCGGAGGCTACAGCAGAGGGCACCAGGACTCTGGAGAAGCCCTCCCCCAGTAATCTACTGTCACTTACCAGGGCCTCAGCCCATGAGGGGAAACCTCCCTAGGCACAGCTCAAGACCTTGGGAAGCATGTATCAAGCAACGTCGTCAGAGACCCTGAATATGGAGTGCAGAGCATACTCCTCTCTAGCATGGGTTTTTCTGTCCCTGAAGACTACAAATCAAAACCCTGTGTGCCCAAGTCAGCATGATTCCATGTCCTGGGGAAAGCTATGCTCGTATTCAGAGTGGTGTGGTCCTCTCTGGGGTGACTGCTGGAGCTGGTGGGTTTCACCACCCTTAAGCATCGGTTGAGTGGCCACTAAACTTTCCAGCAGCCTAGCTGTTCATGTAAAATACCTGCAGTGCACAACGTTTGACAGGTTTTTATTCTTGGGGTTTTTTTGTGCACATCTACTATGGCTTGTGTCACTGACCAGTGGCAATTAACTCTTAATATTTCTTGCAGTTCTTTACTATCGCACATCCTCTTATTCTCTGACTACTCTACCCGAACTGTGTTCCTGTCTGTTTTAACTATAAAAATTAGGCGGATTTTGCCAGGAGTTATTTCCTCTCTTTGTTTACCAAGCCTATGTGATGTTTATTATGACTGCTTTACATGTCATGTACCTTTTTTCCTGCATCAATAAAACAGATAATGACTAATAAAAATGGTTTAACACTGAACAGGAGATCCCAGAAGCAGTTACAGTGACTATGGTACCCCTTTAATTTTAAGAAATATGGAATTGTTTATATATATATATATTTGTTTGAGTAAAATTGTAGACATTTCGATATTCAACATGATTTTTTGTTTCATTGCATCTTTGTCTTTTGTGGCAAACCAATGCCTCTGTTCCATGTAGAATATAAAATTAAAAAAAAAAAAAATTAATAAAAGTGGTCAATGTTTGTTCTGATTATCTGCTTTCTGAGTAGCAAAGGTTCTTGGATTGGAGTAGCCACGTTACAACACGGATCTTAGGGTGTAAAATTGAAAAGAAAGAAAATGGAAAAAAAAAAACAGTTGGAAAATAGACCCAATTAAAACAGAGAGCCTGAGGTGGACATTTAGGTAGGACAATGGTCTACAAATCACTGATATTGACAGTGGTGAACATAGCTAAAATCTCTCTGATCATGGAGAAAGAGATTTAGGATTAGATCTTTAATCATCCAGCGGGTTGTACTATAAAGTTGTGCCCCAATTATTTTATTCTGGGCTTTTCTTTAAGAGAGAGAATGGATTAGAATTACTGTGTAATGTTCTCTTGTCGAACAATGATTGTTTACTATGGATTGCATTAGTTGTTTTGGAAGTGATCAGAAAGGGACTATACCTGCTAAATCTCACACAAAGGAACCTATGGCATCTATGTTATTAATCCTGATTCTTTATAATGTTACAGAAGACTCTGTAGAGTGTCTACACTGTACTAGATTTAACAGTATACAGTCATTTGCCAACAAATGTCAGAGACTTTTTTTTCCCTCCATGGGACGAAATGGAAAAAACTGTCTGGGTCCCAATAAATTCCAAAAGTCTACTTCTTCTGAATGAATGTCTGCGCTATGGAAATGGAGGACGAGGGGAAAACGCTTTTAGTCTATCTGAAAGTGATTTAGACCTATTTAGGGTAGACCCGAGAAAATAAAATAGATAATGCAATCATTCTAGATCCCACGCTCTCTTGTATAGAGTTTGCAATCTGTTATGGAAAGGGGCCTCCAGCGGAGGTTTGCCCATGGCCCTTCAGGCATAAAAGATGGCCCAGGCTATTGTTCACGGTATTGTACAGTTCTGTTCTGTGTATCAATGCTTTATAAATGATAATAAAAAAAAATATATATATATATTTTTATGATATAACATTGTACTCCACTAGAAGCGGCAGGAGATGCGTAGATGAATAGTAAAAAGATCTGCACATGTTAGAGCTATAATTAAGAGGGATTTGAGCTTCACAGCTGCCAACACACTAGAATAGAATAAAAAAAAAAAAAAAGATGTCTGTTTATACATGGGAGGCAGGCCAAGTGCGCATGGAGATGGGGAACAATACAGAGCAGTTCATTGGTCCCGGAACAATGCAGAGCAGGAGAGGATACGGCAGATGGATGAGAACCAACAGATGGCTTAACTGATACAGGGAATAAACGACACCGCACTGCAACTTTGTTTGCCGAGCCATTTCTGCTTTGCAGACTGTGCATAGAAAAATGCATTTGCAGGGTGCCGTGTTTCTGCAGAATTGAATCAATGCCAGGCAGCGTAGCTGTTGATAAAGCGCACAACAAAAGCATCGCGGTTAAAGATAAGAAAGGTGGCAGATATTGCTGTGCTCAAACAAAATAGATTTATTGAATAGTACAATAGTTATTATATACTAAATATGAAAGCAGAGATTATACATTTAATTGAACAGGAATAAACTGTAAATAATCACTGTAACAGAATTCTGAATCCCACTGTTGCATCTGTGCTTAGTTGTGGAATATGCAAGCTTTCAACCTGCTGAAGCAATGTAGTAATATCAATTAATCCAATTTACAATCTCCAATATGCAAAGTCAGTTATGATAGCAGGCCTCTGCTTCCCATTCTCTGAATTTACTCTAATGTTCTACCTGTAGAACACCGGAAATATAAACACCCGTAGAAGACTGCAAAGCAGAGCTGCCTTACAGCCTGACATACACACACTGGTTAATGTATCTCTTTACAGCACCTTCTTTTGGCTTCATACATGGTCATACATACCTCAACCATAGCTTTTCTAATGTATCATAGAATGAATGAGCTATATTCACTCCTCTGGATTGTTCTTGATTACAAGCCTTCAGCTTCGGCATGAATCATTATGAAATGTATAATCTTCATACAGTATCACAGAAGGCTATGGGGTGAGGTCATACCCTTATGAAAATCATTGTTTATGGTTGCATATTACAATTCACTGGATTGCCATTCTGGCCTGAAATATGTGAAAGAGGCATTTTGCTGAAACATTGGTGTCTATCATAATTTTATTTTTTTTATGCACATTTGTTGGCATGCATAACTTCCATGTTGTATCCACGTGCCTGCTTCTATGATTTATGCTGGATTACATTTAGCAATATATTGTAAGTGATTAAATACCTAGTCTGAGCCATTTAAAGGAACACCCTAAGCACCATAACAGGCAGTGGCGTACCTACCAGGGTCACAGGTGGCCCGTCACTCCAGGCGGCCCGGACACAGCTGTGACCCCTGCAAACGTGGCGGACAGTGCACAGCTGCACAGTGAGATCACTTCCTGTCAGACTGGGTACCGCTGTCAGCTTGGAGGTGAGCACGTACAGGAGGAGTATTGGGGAGAAACACATGGAGGGGTTGGGGGAGTCAGGGAGAGGCAGAATAAGAAATGGAGGGGCTGAGGGGAGGTGGGAGAGACACATGTGGACAGAATAAGACATAGAAGGGCTTGGGGGGAGGAATGAGACACATGGAGGAGTGGGGGGAATGACATAGATGAAGGGGCTTAGGGAGGAATAAGACACATGGAAGGTCTGCAGGGGATGGATTACATAGGGGGGTGGAATGAGACACATGAAGGGCTGGGGAAAGAGACACATGGAGGGAAAATGAGACACATGCCCCCCCCCCCATGTGTCTCATTCTCCCTCTCAGCTCTTCCATGTGTGTCTGTTATGAGAGGCATAACTAGAAACCACAGGGCCCCTGTGCTAAAATTGCACTCCCCCTAACCTCTTCATGTGTCTCACCTCATATGCTAAATTCAAGACAGGCACCACTCATCTGCTTAATGAGGTGATCACCTGAACCAAATCTTATATAAGGAGGAAGAATATAAAAACCACTGCAGTGGTCAGCACTACCGTCTTGCAATAGGACCAACTGGAGGGCAAAAACAGTGCTATAGATACCGCAAAGGTAACTGGAATCAAAAAATAAATATTGATCATGCCAAAAGAGATTAAAAGAAAGGCTTTTTATGAGCAAAACAGCGGTTACATTTTTCCTTTACGGGCAGAATGATACAGTGATTGGCAGGTTGCTTTCATCCCTAAAATTTCAAAGACGGCAGTTCATAAGAATAAGGTCAAGCAGCAGACACTGGGAACAACAATGCTACAGAGAGAGAAAATGACTCTGCACTGACCGGTATGACCGCCAACTCGTTCGAATGTCACTCAAAAACCAGAGGATGACATGAAGTGACCGACAAAAAGAATGCAAATGGCAGCTAGGGTGAAGTGCATGGCAGGGACCATTCGAAACAGGCTTCTGGGGAGGGGCTGATATCGTGCAAAGATGGGAAATAAGCCCTTCATCACTAAGAAGCAAAGAAAAGCCAGGATTTTCAACTGATCATACGGATTGGACCATAGAGCACTGGAGCAAGGTTACCTTCTCTGAGGAGTCCACTTTTCAGATTTGCCCAACACCTGGTCATCTAATGGTTAGACAAAAATCTTGTCTTGCACCCACTGTGACACTAGGTGGAGGATCGGTGCTGATCTGGGGGAGCTTCAGCAAGGATTCGGACAGATTCATCTTTGTGAAGGACACATGAATCAAGCCACGTACAAGGTTATTTTGGAAAAAACTTTCTTCCTTCTGCTCTGACAACTTCCCCAACTCTGAGGGTTGCTTTTTCCACCAGGACAATGCTTCATGCCACACAGCCAGGTGAATCAAAGATCACCTGATCAAGACCCTGTCAAGTCCAGCCCAAATCTCCATATCTGAACCACTGAAAACCCCCGGAATGTGATAAAAAAAATAAAAAATGGATGTTTGAATCTGTGCACCACAAGTGGGAAAAAGTAACCAAACAACAGTGTGAAGGGCTGGTGGACAGCACAGGTCCGATCCTGGGTGGGTGCAAAGTGCACAGGCGATCTGTAGATAGAGGTGAGGCAGTGATTCGTGCAGTGCTAGGCTCCACCCCCTCATGGTAGGAGAGACGGCAGAACTGAAAGGCAAAAGTTACAAGCTGACAAGCTGTTTGAGGACATCTTGACAAAGGCTCAAGTAGGAGCCGAAACTTTGTCTCCATTTCTGTGTTGCAAATAAAGACTGCCTTTTAGAAGAAACCATCAGGTTTGCCTGGATATTTGTATCTTTTTTCACCAACAGATATGCATTTCTGCTTAGACATTGGCAGGTTTCCCGGTGGCAATTTACTTTACTGAGAAAAACTCATTTGTCCCTGAATTGGGCTTAATGTTTTGTTTGTTTATTAATTATGTTTTTTATATGTTATGATCTATGTCTCTATGAGAACATATTTGGCCTAGCCTGGCATTTAGAGAATAACTCCCCAATGAGTTGTTAATAAAAGTCTCCAGGCCCTGGTGAGCAGTATGGCAATATTAACTTTAATTCAGTCAAATTAAAATACACAGGAATGTATCAAGACAAAATGAAAATAACCTTGTAGGGAATATAGATACTGGAAAAAGGGGCTTTAATTTAGCTTCTCAGTGTACATGGACACTTGGATCCAACATGGAAAGATATAATAATAGACTTTTTAATAACAACTTCATGAAACTAAATGGTCAAATGCACTTTAGAATCCACCACTATTATGGGTAGAAATTAACACCAATAAGCAGAGCCGGATTACCCATTAGGCAATCAAGGTGGCCACCTAGGGCCTGGTCATAAATACAACACGCAAAGACCATAAGCAGCCCAAATTACACCCAACACAAGCAGCTACTCCACACACATACATATGCTCAGAGACATACGTTCACACACCAGGATACTTAGGCACATACACAGTTACAGAATGCCAGAGACACAGACACACTCAATCGGAAATGTACACACTCTCAGACACATAATGCTAGATACTCATCCCCCCCATACAGAACCTCCTTCACACACACACACTCACTCACACTACAGTCAGTCAGCACACGCTACTCATATCAGAATTAGGATGTGATCTGGAGTCTTTACATGAAAGTTCAAGGTCAAGACTAGACAGAACAGCAGTGAAGACAAATGATAAATGGTACACTCGGGTCACATAATTACACGTTAGATAATTAGAAACATGTCTCTATTCTCACTGCTCAATTATCTGCTATTTAGGAGTTAATCACTTTTGTTTCTGTTTATGCAACCCTAGCCTCACCTCCTCTGGCTGTGACTCTCACAGCCTGCATGAAATCAAAATGGTTTTATTTTCAATCAGATGTAACTTACTTTATAAGTTTTTATCTCCGGCTCTGTAAATTGAACTTTATTTACAAACAGTAGGCTGATGCAGGGCCTAGCAAGTATTAACAAAGCAAGAGATACGAAATCTAAATAAAACAAGAATTTGCAATAAAGATATTAGACATTAGATATATCCTTACAGGAAGTGTTTAGGAAGGCTGTGTAAGTCACATTCATGGAGGTGTGACGAGGGCTGCATAATCAAAGTAATTTAACTCCTAGATGGTCAAGAATTGAGCAGTGAGACTGCAGGGGCATGATCTATTCACCAAAACTGGTTCATTAAGCTAAAGTTCTTTTGGTGACTATAGTGTTTCTTTAAAAGAACACTAGAGGCACTCAGCCCACTTCATCTCAATGAACTGGTCTGGGTGCCATATGTCCCCCATTTTTTTACACCGCAGCTGAAAACATAGCCATTCTGCAGAAACAGCAATGTTTCCAGCTGCAGGGTTAACCTGCCTCTAGGTTTGTCTTACTAACAGTCACTAGAAGCACATAAGTGAAATAGCAGAGAGACCATCTGATTGGCACAGTGCGCCATTTTGTCACACAAGTCTCCTGATGCTTCCCTAAGGGAAAGCATTGGATTGGCTGTGATCAACAACAGTGATGATCACAGCCAAAGAGGCGTAGCTTCATGGAGGGACCAATGCTGAGAGGGAGAATATGAGTAAAATACCTTCTTTTTTTTTTAACCTTGGAATTGCTGGCCAGGTCACCTAAATGGTAATCAGGGCAGTACAGCATTAGGAATACATATTTAAATTTTATTCCTTTAATGAATAATGCTGAAAAAAGTTTTGTTAGTTTTTATTTTATGAACGTATCTCTGTATGTACTGTAATTATTACAGTCTTTCTTCCAAACACTTACTGCTTAAGTAAATAGAAAATTATTTTAATTTTTTTTAGAGTGGCGTAATACAATTGCACAAGAATATGTACTTCCTAAAATGCTACAAAAATATTTAGCAATAAAATGAATTGAGATTTTTTTCTGTTGAATAACTGGCATAGTCATCATTGCGGTTGTGCAATATGTTTGGGAGTAAATTTGGGCAAAAGTTGTGACTATAGCCACGTTGAAGTATTTTTATAAATCAGCTATTTTGTTTGCGTTTATGGGTTATGCCGTTTAATTTTCAATGTGCAGTTTTTTTTTTTTAATTCACTCCCCCCAGCCTCCCTACTCTTGGGAGTGCTGGGATTGATTCTTTCCCTGGGGTCCAGTGGGGCTGCTGGGCGGCCGTCCGGTCACTGCAGTCGGCGAGGGAGCACTGATCCTCCTGTTCAACTCCCTCGCGCGCGCCGCGTAGTGATGCCAGGGCCGGAGTGATGTCATAATCCGGCTCCGGCATCACTGCGGTGCGTGCGAGGAAGCTGAACAGCAGTGCTCCCTCGATGACCACCCGGAAAGTGCCGCCAATGCCAGCCCCCAGGACAAGAGGCTGGCAAGGCATTTGCTTTGGGCGGCACTTTCTGGGGGCGGCAAAAAAAAAAAAACACACCCCCAGAAAGTGCCACCCAAGGAAAATGCCTTGTCAGCCTCGCGGTAAATACACACCTGGAGGTATTGCTATAACCCCGAATAACATAGCTGAGAAACATATGAAGTATTATACGGTCGTAGCATACATAAGGTTTGCAAAATATACTGTGCAAACTCACTTTGTCTGTCAAAAAGGAAGAAAAATGCTTATTACCACTTGTACCACACTTGGTACAAGCTAGCTGAAAAATAATCCCACGCTTAGGTTCAAAATATAACCCTGGGATGTCTTCTTTAAGAAATGGTATGCCTTTATGGTGTAGCTGGAAAATGTAGCCTGCTCATGTGCTCCAAAGTGGGACACGGACGCATAAAAACCCTCCATGAAAATTCACACTTAAAAACCTGAAGTTGTTACCTCTCTTTTACAGCACTGGAACTTCACAAAATAGTGTCTAGGTCATACATTGGGCATATTGTTTTACTCAGAAGATGTAACTGAGCATAATATGGGGGATCTTATGACAGTGGTACATATCAAGTGTAAGAAATACTCTGCAAAAATACAACATGTATGTAAAAATCTAATTTTTTCCCTCTCACCACAAACATTGAAGTCATTTGGTGAGAAAATGGTGACAGGTCAAGGCACAAATACACCATATAAGATACCCTGGGGTGTCTGCTTTGTCAAATAAAAGATGGGTTATTTAAACAGTCAAACAACTATAATATCCCAACATGAGACATAGGCCCATCATATCCATCTATGAAAATTCTAACTATAGAAACTGAAATAGCCTTGTCTCTTATATGGCATTGTAGCTTCACAGAATAGTGCCGAAGGCATACAATGGGGGTATCGTCATAATCAGCAGATGTAGCTGAACAGAATATGGGGTTCTGTGCAGGAATAGCACACACCAGCTTTACAAAATACACATTACAAAAACCTTGTGATATGTGTATATGCCAAAATATAGAAAAAACCCCACAATTTTACTCCAATATTTAGCAGAGATTGTCGATGAAATGGCTACATAAAAAAAGTGTCAAACTAACCTTAGGTAAATAGCCTGTGAGGTCTACTTTATCTAAATATTTCCTGGCTAATCATGGCAGCATATACACATGGGTTAGCTCCTCCCCTTACAGCCGATAGGACAGGAAAACCACCAAGGTTTTAAAAGGAGGCTCCATCCCCAAGGTCCTCAGTCTTTTTTCTGTCCTACAGCCCTTAGGACGTGAGCAATTTGCTCCCTTTACTTACGGACATGTATTTTTTTTTTTTATCTTCATTACTTTATTTGCCTGTTTTACTGTAGTACATTATGCAGTTGTGCTTTTATGCTGTGATGCATTTAAGCTTTGATATCTTGAAACTAGTGCATTATACAGCTTTACCTTATTTTTAAGATTGTGGTACATTATGTGGTTGTACTTTTACTAGGAAGCATTTAAGATGTGTGGCATTTAAAACTGTTTAATTTAAATTTGCATTTAATACTGTTGCATGTAATACCGCAAGTCAGTGGAAACTGCAGTGTGTTTGAAGACTGAAACATTTTTTGAAAACTGTGATACATTTAGAAAACTGTGTTACCTTTTATACCTTGAGGCCTTTCGACTGTGGTGCCTTTAAACTTTGACTTTTTGCACCTGGTTGCCTTTTAAACTTCCTTGCAGGCACTTTTGTTATCTATTTTGCTTCCCCTCGGTCCCAGTGATTTATTCCCGGTTCCCTGGGTGTTTAGGGGCCATGTAGGCTTCAGACAGAGTCCTTTACCTGGTCTCTAAACCGCAAACACACTCAGAATAGGCCCACATGTGTGCAGTTTGTGCCTTAATGGGCCTAATACAGATGACTTGCATTGTGGGAATACAAGTTGTGGCAGCTATCTTGGATAAGGGCAATTGCCAGAAAGATCCTAAAATAAAGGGAAAATTACAGTAAACATACCACACTTATTTGGTAAGTATTTGCAGGGTCTCCAGACATGGATAAGTGCTGTCTTCAGCCTGTTTTAAAGCTGTTTCACTGGTTTCTTATAGAATTTAACAGTGCACTTTTTTACTTAATACTTTACCACAGGTAATATTTAGTAATTATTATTTGTCAGATGTCTGATTCTTCACAGGATCTGGTTATGAGTAGAAACAGTGGAAGAAATCGTTTATGCACTGACTGCCTCCAGAAGGTTGTCGCTTTAGCATGACCTATCAATGTGCAGCCACATGATTTGCGGGCAGGGCTTACAAAGTAAGTTCCAGAGGCCTTACGGGTAAGAAAAGAGGCCAGGCTTTACCCTGTGGAGGAAGTTATTTCCAACCCCAGAACTACACCATCTAAGTTGCAAAGTTATGGATCATAGGTGGACGTAGACCTGTCCAAAATTTTACGCCTACCATTGCAGGAGGCCAGCCAGCTGTGACTTCCGCTGCTGTTTCTACAAACATGAAATATGTGATTAAAGATCTAAAGGCTACTATGGAGAGAGAGAGATTAAAAGCCAAGACTGAAGAGAAATTCTGAAGTCTTCAGGTTACAACTGACTTCTTCACAGAAACTTCCCTAGATGTAACTAGGAGATTCTCTGGATCAAATGGCTTTATCTATAGCAGAAGCATTATGGTTCTGTTTCTGGGATGATGACTCATCCTCCAAGTCTGCCCTCCACACCATTCTATTTGAAGGGGTGGTGCTGTTTGGGAAAACTTTGGATAATTCCATTGAAAAGGCGAATGAGGGCTGCAAGATATTTGTACCTCAGGACGGAAGTTCCAAGGATCCCAGCTCCTCATAGTCTGACCGGAGAACCTCCAGTGACCAGTATTTCTGAGATACATGGAGCTACTGACCCTGCAGGGTATACTCCAGAGGTAACTCATGGCAGTTGGTAAACCTGCCTTTCAAGGTTCTAATGGAGCTATTAAGCAGTCGTTTTGCTCTTCAGCAATGAACATGTCTCCTCCAGTACTAGGAGTCTCATTTTTCTGATCACACATACACGGGCTCGTCATACTCTGGAGGCTTGAGTGGTATGCATAGTCCAGATTGATATAGACTGGAGTTTTTTCTTCAGGCACAGGAGTCTCCATACCAACAGGAGTATTAAGACCAATGAATCAAAAGGTAAAGCACTGAAGGAAGAAGCCTTCTGGACAAAGAGGTGATTTATTTTTTTTTAGGTCCCAGAACAAGAGCAGTTCCAGGGACAAGTTTCGCCTATCTTCTGGTGCTAAGAGGAAAAGCACATGGAAGCCTACACTGGACCTAAAAGGGGCCAACAAGAGGCTGAATGTCAGAGTCTTCGGGATGGAGTCAAACAGATCCATATCTTAAGCAATCTAGAAGGATAATTTCCTTACCTCTAAATATCTCAAGGATGCTTACTTTCAGTCCAATCTGCAGAGATCTTCGGCATTAGCTCAGAAGAGAACTTCCAAGTTAGTGCCCTACTATTTGGCCTGAATGCGGCCGCAATAATCCTTATATGTGTTTAGTGTTATTGAGAGTCCAGAACTCCACCTGGTTCCATTATCTGAAGGATCTACTTCTGATAGCCTTAGACCAAGAGAAGGCAGGCACACAGAGGTATTTAGTTCTTTCATAACTCCTAAAGTTTGGCTGCTTGTTGAATATCAAGAAAAGCATTTTCACATCAGCTCAGTTGTTGACATTCCCAAGTGGAAAATTTATATACTCTGCTTTTTCCCTATCTCAGGAACAGTTCCACAGATTGTGAAGGTTTTCTCTCACAGTTTATCCATTTCTGCTTGGTAACAGCAAGAAAATAGATGCAACTACTAGGAATCCTGGCTTCCACCAGCAGACTTGTCAGATGGGCCCAATGGCATCTCAGGATTCCTCACAGATCCTTCCTATCTTGGTTTAACAAGAGAAAGATTATTGGAGCCAGCCACTGATTATGTCCCCATCAGTGGAGTTACACTTTACCTGGTAGCTGAAAAGAGGGATTAGATCTCTGAGTTTCCCAGGGAACAGAACCTCATTGGTCAATTATTAGCTCGAATTCCAGTTTTTATAAGATTGGTTTTACAGTGTTTGGACCATGTTGCACAATATTTCCATTCATTTGTATGGTATTACGAGTCATTTTCAAGGCTCTTCTTCACTTCAGAGGCTTGCTGAAGAACGAGTGGGTACAAATTTGCTCAAATATCAATGCAACTGTATCCTATAGCTATCAAGATGGGTCTCACAGATACGTATTGATGGAATTCCAGCCCATAATCAGGGCACAGAAGAACAACCAGGGGCTCAGAATACAATGGCTGTTTGCTTGAGCCGAATAACTGTGGACAAGGTGTATTGGCAACCATGTCACGACATATCCTCGGGGTTGACGCAGATTTGTCTGATACCCTACATAGATCTGATGGCCATTTCTTGGAACTACCAGGTCCAGAAGTATTTTCTACATGCTAGGACCAGAATGCTCAGGTGCAGGATACACTGACTCAAATTTAGAATTTTAGTCTGATGTACATATTTTCCTGTTTTCGTCTTTCCTAAAAAGGTAATTCAAAAGGTGACAGTGGAAGACCGTGTCGACTAATTCCTGTGATGAATAAATGATTATGGAACCTCCAAGGGAAATTCCAGTATGTCCAAACCTATTACAAGGCCCCTTGACACACTAGGATCCTCAAGTTCTGGTGTTGATGCGGGAGTCCATATTAGTATAGACATCCATGAGACGGTCATTGAGATACTCTTACAATCCTATACAGGCTTTACAAAGCTTGACATGCTTTTGTCTGTTGGAATTACTCCTCGTTCAGGCCTTGAAAGGTTCTGTGTTATAATACTCTAGAGGAGCACTTAGCAGCACTTTGCTTCATATAGGCATTGATTGAAATCATGCCTCCACTGAGTGTGGCGAAGCCAATACGTGACGTACCACTGGTCTCACGGGCCCTGACTAAACCATTATTCGAACCTCTAGAAGGAGCTTCCATGGTGGTAGCACAGAAAGTGCTGGTGGCTGGTACCCCAGCAAGGAAAATGGGTGAACACCAGGCTTGATTCTGTGAACCCCCTTTCCCTACTTTTCAACAGATATGGTCGTCTTGCATTTGGCACCTGAAGATCCTGCCTATGGTGAATTATGTATGTCATTCTCTACATATACTGAAGGGTACCCATTGAGCGTGGATGCTGGTTGATCCCTGGTGCTTTGCTGCATGTTAGCAACAATTGAACTCAAGCCTTCGCTAAGGGTGTTGAAACCAATATGTGACATACCACTGGTCTCACAGGCTCTGACTAAACCATCATTTGAACCTCTAGCAGGAGCTTCCATGATGTTAGCACAGATGTTGCTGTTACTGGTGGCTGGTACCTTAGCAGGGTGAATGTGTGAACTCGAGGCTTGATCCTGTGTACCCCCATTCACTGAATTTCAACAGGATATGGTTGCCTTGCATGTAGCACCAGAGATCCTGCCTAAAGTGAGAGCCTTTCAATGCCATTCTCTACCTGTACCAAAGGATTTTGGGGCATTCTCCACTAGTGCTGTTACAGCGTCTCGTGGGCTTCCATGGCAAAGGTCTCTGCTGAAACTTTGTAAAGTTGGCATTTGGATCTCTTTGAACCAGTTTGTCCTGCATTACATATTGAACATTGAAGCAATTAATGAGGCACAATTTGGACGTCATGTCCGTTCTCTACCTGTGCTGGAGGGTATCACGGCACTCTCCTCTCATGCTGTTGCAGCATTGTGGGTTTCCATGGCAATGGTTTCTGCTGACACTTTTTGTAAGCTAGCATTTGAACCTCTTTAGACATGTTTGTCTGGCATTTCATACTGTTCGTTAAAACAGTCTATGGTGCACAATTTGGTACTCAAGTACTTAACTCAGTTCATTCTTCTATCTATGTTGAATTATTCTGATCTATTTGATTGGCTATTCTGTCCCTCCCTTTGTAAGCTTGGGTATTCCCCATGTGTATATGCTGCCATGATTAGCCAGGAAAGTGGAAAATGTATTCATACTTACTGTAATTTTCTTTTCCTGGCTATTATTCATGGCAGCACATACTTCCCACCCATTAATATCTCTATTTATGTACTGTAGAGCTTGTAAACTGACTGAGGACCTTAGGAATGGAGCCTCCTTTTAAAACCTTGGTGCTTTTCCTATCCTATCAGCTGTAAGGGGAGGAGCTAACCCATGTGTATATGCTGCCATGAATAATAGCCAGGAAAAGAAAATTACGGTAAGTATGAATACATTTTCCACTATACTTTTGTGTGGCAATTTTGTTTTCTGTGATGGCTATTAAACCTACAAGACAAACATATCAACGTCTAAAAAAAATTTCACATTGAAATTTAGTCCTATAAGCTGGAATCCTATACATGTTATGTACTCTATAAATCAAGACACATAAATTAATTTATTTTGAATTACTTTTTCGAAGCTGGACATATTGTGCACACGCTATTATTGACAAAACTGTCAAAGATAAATGTTTTTTTCTTCTTCCTTTTTTTGGCATTTGTTTTATAATTAATGAGAATTTATCCATGTATATGTGACATCAAATTAAAGCCCTTTTTGCCCTCTAAAAAAAACGGTATATAATATGTGTTGGTGCAATAAATGACAGAGATGCAAATTGCGTGTGAACACAAATAGAAAAAAATGCAAAAATGGCTTGTGTCCTTAAGGGTAAGTTAAGTTTTTGAAGCTGCGTCCTTAAAGGGGTTAATGTTGCTTATGTCAAATAAACAAAAAATAATTATCTATAGAAGGAATCTACGGATTATTCTTCCGAGTGTTAAAGGGCCGCATTATCAAAATCTACAATTTTAACTCCCAACAAAACGTGTGAACGACCAGGACTTCTACAGAAAAGCATACATATTACAAGCCGGAGTTGAGACTTTGTATTCATGTTCTCATTATCCCTAAATGGCGATCTCATGAATTAGACAATATAGACCTCCTCCCAAAGAACAAGGCAGCAGCCTGAACACCTGTCACAGCCCTGGGACACAGACTGGCCTTTATTGTGGGATGGCAGCTGCTAACTGCCATCAGCATCACATTTCATGCACAAAGACTTGCTTCATTTTTATGGTTCAGGGCTACGCAAGAAATGAAGGAGAAGGGCGAACATTTTACGTGAGAGTATCGTGTTGCATTTTAAATATAATGTTTGAATAAAATTAAAGTAAGTACACATCATAACAAACACCAAACAAACAAGCAGCAAAGGGAAAAAATACTCTGGTACTGTGGCTGTTAGAATGCCTAATTATTAAACCTTTGTGATACCCACTTTGCTGTCGGCTGTCAAGTCAGCCTCCTGGGGGATTGTTTGGGTTTTATCCTAGCGCAGTGACATTACTGGGTGGCTGTGTGTTAGTAAAAATAAACACAATGTCAATAAAAGAGGTAATTGAATGGGAATGAAAATGCACATTTTGACCAAGTTCATAATAATTTTAGTTTTATTTACTAAATTAGGAATTGTAGAGAAATTTAAGGGAATCACAAATAGCTGAATTGGAAAAATTGTTTAATTGGGAAATTTTTCCAGTTCAGCCATTTTAAATGAAAAGTTTGCAAATCCGTTGACAAGCCTTCAAAATTTTTATTAAGTGTATTCCTGACACTATAGTTCTCTGTTTAGATAGTCAGCCCCCCCTTACCTGGGGTTAGAAAGGTGATTTACTCCATGCATCTGGCCTTGCCATAACTGATGATCTCAGCCAATCACAATGCTTTCCCATAGGAATCAATTCTGATGATCTCAGCCAAGGAGGCAGGATGGAGAGGCGGTGTCTGTCTGTGTCATGGTCTGTCATGGTGTGTGTGTGTGTCTGTCATGGTATATGTGTGTTTCTGTGTCTGTCATGGTGTAAATGTGTGTTTAAAAATAGTGTTTTTGCTCACCTTTTTTTTCCCCACGCAGCGTGCTGGTCTCCCTCGACTGGCCCTGCCTCTATAGCTGAGATCATCAAGCTTGATGATCTCAGCCAATCCAATGCTTTACCATAGGATTGGCTGCAAAACGCCACTCCAATTAGCATCTCCTCATAGAGATGCATTGAATCAATGTATCTCTATGGGGAACGTTCAGCACCTACAGAGTGTGGAGGCCATGAATGTAGGTGCACTAACACAGGAAGCACCTCTAGTGACCGTCTGAGTGACTGTCACTAGCAGTGTCACTTTGAAGCAATGTAAACACTGCCTTTTGTCTGAAAAGTCAGTGTTTACGTTGAAAAGCCTGTAGGGACATGCTATAGACACCAGTACCACCACATTAAGCTGTGTGTGTGCGTCTGCTAGTGAGTGAGCTTGCTTGCATGCGTGTGCCTGCTAGTGAGTGAGCTTGTGTTTTATGTCAATGAGCTGATGTATATCAGTAAGATTGTTTGTCTATGAGGCTGTGTATCAATGAGCTTGTGTGTGTCATTGAGATGTCAGTGAAATTGCCTGTGTCTGCATGTGCGTATGCTTACTGTATAATTAAACGTTTTACCCTGAAAGGACCAATATTTTATATTAGAAAAAGCAATATATATATATATATATATATAACTCAATCATCTGTCCTGGCAAGACATAGCCTTACATATTACACGCGACAATATATGGCACAGTGACTTATGGGGCTGGCACAAATTATTTTTCCAGGGCTGCTTTGTATCCCCAGTCCGGCCCTGCGTTTGAGGAGTGTTTTTTAGGCTCTAATGTAGGTATTGTCTACATAAAAATAACTGCAGGGACTGACTATACTCACCAGATTAACTACAATAAGCTGTAGTTGTTCCTAGTGTCCCCTTAATAGGAAAATCTAAATGAAAAACAAACTTTAAATAATTGAGTTAACCGTTTCATATGATGGTTGCTATGCTGTCCTGTTGTTACGGAACAAGTTGCCGCTATATAAATGCCAATAATAATAATAATAATGACCGTATTGTTTTTCTTTCAGTTTTCCTTTCTTTCTTGCGCAGAATCTTGAGATTCATGCACTGCCATTTTTTTTCCTATGTCCATGCTGCCTGCAATTGCCATTCTGTGGCATTGACTGAGGGATTGTGGGTAATTTAGCTTAGAAAATGAAGAGACAAAAAATAATAATTAATCTAAAAACAAAACTTGCAAAGCGGTCATGCTGTTTTGAACACATCTCTTGCTGTTTTACTGCAGCAGGATATGATTCATGTTGGTACCAGCGAATCCAGATACTTGGGGCTCCCTTCTGAGAGATGGGGTCAGGTTTTCTGTTTAGGGTGATGACGTAGTATATGTCATAATGCTCGCTTGGGCATTCGTTTCACAGATAAGTACACATGCCTGCACCCAAGTATACCGTGCCATTAGGGTTAAATTAATTTACATGGCATTCTCTACCTGGGTTGGGCCATTCGGACATGCAATCTAAATTACAAAATAAAATAATTGAGAATGAAAAAATAAAAAAACCAAAGCACAATCTAACTTTAGTTAGCTATCGAGTTGTAGAAAACCTTGTTCTTCTTTAACCCCTTAAGGACCAAACTTCTGAAATAAAAAGATATCATGACATGTCCTTAAGGGGTTAAGCTATAACAACACTAAAAGATTATGGTCCTTAAGATGGTTAATAATGGGGGGCGGGGCCTGACCTGCAAACTAGACGGTCGCATGGCAGAGGAGCTCCCAATGCCAAAGCGTTTTTTGGGGGATATACTCACTAAAAAGATGCCGGGGTACGCTACCCACGCTGGGGCACCCTGGCGAATCGCCTGATATCGAACTCAAGTAATTCCCACAAGCACAAGCCTGAAGGGGCCCAAGGCGGCCCGCGGTGGATGGGGCTGGGGGGAGGCGGCCGCTCTCCTCGCCTCCACACTGGGCGCGCTGTGCCACAGATCACCCTTCCCCCCCCTACAGGACCGGCGGGGGTTATCCCGGTCCAACCCCGCCAGACGGAAGGGCTACGGCAGATGCGGATGGCGGAGCCTAACAAGCAGCTCCCAGCCGCACAGACCCACACAATGGCAAACGCCACGTGCGACTGCAATGGCGGCAGAGCGGAGACCGATGTCCTGAAAAGGCTAGACGCTATCTTCGACGCCTTTTGGGCACAACTAGCACTCAGAGAACGACAGGTCAACATACAAGAGACCTTACCCAGAGACGGACCCGCACGTGCTTGCCACAGCCACGCTGTTCCCCGCTCGGAGGCACCCACAAGATGGCGCCGCAGACGGAGACCTCACCCGCATACCCGCAAGTGTCTGACCAAAACAGCGCTGATAACCCGCAGGGACAAGCAGGTCCCACCTCATCCTCACACGGCACCAAACCCCGCCAGGCAACCTTCAAGAAGCAAACACCCATCAGGGCACCAGAACCTGTCAACGCCAAGGGGAGTTCCAGAATCCAGGACCAAAGCACCAACTACCTACAATAACACTACAGGTACCCACAGCGACAAGCGACCAGGCCCAGCATCGGACCTAGCGCAACTAAACTTTGCCTTATCCCAGCGGCCACAAAAACCAGCGACAAGATCCCTACCTATGCCCCAAAAGGACTGCCAAGTACCCCTATCAACATTCCCAATGCTGGGCATAGGTTGACAGCGAGCACTCAGGCTGGACTCTCAGAGGCACATACCCCAAACCTCTGCCACAACGGACACTGTGTTAACCACTTTGCAGCCTCCTAAACAGAGACCCACCTAACTGGAGACCTCTACGAGATAAGCCTATAATGCCTACAAGCCAATAAGCAATATGCGTTTATATGTACCACGTATGTTTGGCAACGAGATATGCCATTGGGGACCATGGCGGAGTAACCTGTCGCAATGGTGTTTTACTCTTTCCTCCTGGCCCGTGCCATGTATTTACCCCTATGCTGTGCCTTGAAGCAGAAACTGCATTTGCATAAGTGACAGGGTAGTGAGGGTGTCTCTGCAATGTCCTAGTACAGCCTCGGTTGATATATTGCGCAGTTGCCTAATACACCCAAGTCGTCACGGTATAATGGGGAATATTTAATCTAAATCACAGGCATTACTGTTCCTATTGTATTTATGACTGTTCCGCAGTTATATGCTTAATTACACTCATGTCCTTAACCTGTGTCCTACTTTCATGACACTCACTTAGTACATCTGGCATGCTACTCACCACGTCTAACATGCTTAGATTTCTAATCAACTTTAAACTGCTATAACTTACAAACAAACGTATGCATAGCTTGATTATAATTTTATTATAAAAATGTGCCGATGTTTACATGCCATAAACGTGAAAAACTGTGTTCTAACTGTTCTTATGCATGCCGTTGTGGCATTGTTAAATGTTCTGTTACCTCCTGCACAATGAAAAATAAAGAATTTAAAAAAAAAAATAAAAAAAAATAAAATAAAAAAAAGATGGTTAATAATGGATGGATGATAAATTTAGGGGCTTCTTCTTGAAAAGTACTAATGTAGTAATTTAAAAAAGTGGAGGTAATTCACTAAAATTTACCATCCAAAAAATAATCCCAGCCCATTTTCCATAATGGCACAAACTCAAACTATCCCTGAAATGGAGTATCCAGAGGTCCAGCCAGTGTGAGGATAAGGCACAGTGCCAACATTGCTGCATGCTCTTCTGCTGTAAGATTGCGTGACTGACACCCTTCTCAATTACGATTCCTACTAAGGGATTCAGAGATGGGGCGGGGAATCTGTTTGACATCACCTGGAGCAATTCTGCACATTATACTACTGTCCACTCAGGCACCCATTTGCGGCAGCCAGCCCCTAATGCAGCCAAGTCCCAGTGGACCCCAGTGAAGCCACCCTCCAGCATCGAAAGGGTATGGGGAACAGGAAGGCAAAAATATGTAAACTACGACGTGTGCATGTCAGTATGTGTGTGTACATGTTCATGCATCCCTGCATTCAAAACACCAACACTACTTACAAATGCTCCACTGCATTCAAATAGCAATAGTAAATACCAACACACTATAATTTAGTATATAGTCATTTTGGCAATATTGAATAAAAAAATTACAGCTGGGAGCAATGCAAGTGCTCCTTTGCAGTCCTGGCGCTCAGCGACTGGGTCAGAATGCAGCCGCCGGCTTACCATAACAATGTGAGTGCCAGACTTGAAGAATGTTTTATATAGTCTGCACCAACTACAGGTGCAGAACACTCCCCCACTGGTCTACCAGGACGCACTCAGCAGCACCATAGAACTTTACTCCCTCTAGCCCTGCAGGAAGGTACATTTGACATTAACATTACACACACACACACACACATCACACTGAGCTAACCTCACATATTATTTATAAAGCACCAATAAATTCCTCAGCGCTGTACATACAATCGCATTCAGGCAAACTCCACATACTATTACACTCTGTCACCAAACACAGCCCACTTAGATGTATTGCTTAGGGGAGCGACGAGGGGGGTCCTGTTTTTGGTTCTTAGTTACGGTGCTGACTCGTATGACTTAGGGGATGTCTAACTGCAATAAGATAATGTGCTGTTAATTTATTGTACGTTTTCCACATGTCACTGCTGGAGATAATATTAAGTTAATATACTAAATCCTCTCTAACGCCCTTTAAATTGACATTAACCTTTGGGTTTTTTTTTTTGGTAGCACTGATTTTTCTTTGGTCACATATTAGATGTGCATCATTGTTCTGTTACGTTAGTGCCTACACATTGCTGGGTGAAATAGATATTGCACTTTTATCTTTTATTTGTTGTTGTTCAGGCACTTGTTTGACACTATAGGGTCCAGCTAGGAGGCATGCAACTGATCCATTATTATTACTGAACACATGCAATGATAAAGGTCCATTAACTGTTTAAAAGGAAAGGAGAAACAATAATAGCACTGACAAAGTTAAAAAATAATGATGTGCTGGATAAATCTTTCCTTATATAGATAAAACAATTGTGACTTTTTCCAATTTTTATTTTGAGTTGTGTGGACTGTAACATAGTAAAAGGCCGATCCGAAGCACCATCACCACTAATGCCTATTGTACTTCTTATTAAGCAAGGGGTCTATGGATGTCTTCCCTCCACTAACTGATCAATTGTTTAAAAAAAATAAAATAAAAATAAACTACTGAGGTTTTCCCAGCACCCAAAGCCACTCTCAAGTTTCTCAGTAATAATGAGAACGTTCACATGCGCATGCCATGCAATCATAAGCTCTGGGAAGGAACTTTATCAGGACTCTGCCATGCCGAATCACCAGTATGGCTAAATCACTATCAGCACTTCCAGTGCCACAGAGCTGACAAAAGCTGCATAGGGATAACAGCTGCAGGGCCAAGGTTGAACACCTCTGGTATATTGTCTTTCACAACTCAGTAACAAAGTGATTTAGGTAAAATACAGGAAATAGCATAGTTTAGGAATTTCATTCACAAGAAGAGCAAACGCTTGCAAACTAACTTGAGTATACATCCCAGCTGTTCTGAGTTTGGTTGGCCTATCCTGGAATTGGGGTTCTCTGGACAAAAGGAAGTAATAAAAAAATAAAGCACCGTGAATTTATATGTGCGTCTGAGCTTGTTAATATGTATAGCTAGGAAGCTGCATGTCTGCTCCGTGTCCTTGGACATTCATCTGATATCAGCCCACCAACACCTATTTTATGTGTTTTAAATTGGGTAGAAGGCACATTGACATTGCAGGAGTCATACCATAGATGTTGATTACAACAGTGCTGGAAAAGTTATAGAGTGAGAAGAAATTAGTAAAGATAAGATCAAGATTGTAACCAGCTATGGGAGTAGGTGTGAATGAGAACTTAGAAGGGGGTGCAAGGCAACTAGTAACACATTAAATGACCACTATAGGCATCCAGTCCACTTATTTTCAATGTTGTACTCTGGGGTGCAGTGGCCCGGCCATTTATTGCAGGCGGCTGTGAGTCTCTGAGCTGATAGAATAACTTTATGGAGCCCTGAATCTAAATTGGTAGTAGTGTTATAGGAACTCAAGGCTAAGAAGCACATAAGAAAATGGACACGGATTCCAGGAAGCGAACATTGATTTATTTGCAGCTGCAAATGTCTCAATCAGACAATAGTCTTGGAGTACCTGACTGAGCACACGTTTACAAGAGAACAAAGAATATATACCACAAATGACGTTTTCCATACGTATACAGAGAATACAAAAATTAGATACAATTATTAAACTAAAACTTATCTCTTACATATGTTAAAAGTGGGCGTTCCTGACATTCCACACATGGACCCTGGTCCAAGATAGTTGCACAGTAGTTTTAACCATGTGAGTACTGAAATTTACTTAAAGATCCTGTAGCTTCTACCACAGTAGAACACTATAGCATTAGGAAAACACGTTTGCATTCCTAACGCTATAGTGTTCCTTTAATGGCTAGGTTGTGCACTGGGGCACACAAACTTTTAATGTTATGAAGTCCATTGGTTGAAATAAAATTGCATCTGAACTCCAATAGCGTGGGTCCCTTACCGTACTGTACTAAAGCTCCCACTCGCCTACTCCACTGTAGGGCTGGATGGAAGTGATGGCAGTGTTTGAAGGAAGCCATGTTGAATGAGAATAGAGCAGACTCCAGCACTTGCAGCCTGATCCCCAATGTACCCCAAGGAAGCCAAAGTCCTGATATAAAATGTTGGTAAAGTGGAGGATGGCTTGAAACATAGAGGGTTATTCACTTCAGTGATAATTTAAAATTTAAAGTGAAAATAGCCGAACTGGAAAAATTCTCTAAACCAGCTATGCTATCAAATTCTCTTTGTATTTACAATGTGGAATACTTTTTGTGGAATAAGCCTGGTAGATTTCTACAAGTGTACAAAATTAAGTCTTATGTTCAAACTCCCATTACTCACAGGTGGCAGCAATGGCTATAGTAATCAGCAGCCCAAATACAAAGATTGTTTTGCCTTCTTTTGGATCAACAACAAAAAACAAATGTGAGGGTGACTGAACTTGATGTACAAATGTCTCTTCAGCCTATGTAACTATGTAAAGAACAAAAGGAAAAAAAGTTACCTGCACACTATCCCAAATCCCAATGCACATTTAAATAACAGGAGGTTTTTAGTATTACTTCAATGGCCATTAAGGTGTGAGCTGAGCTGCCCCGTCAAAGCAAACCTTTTAGGGAAACTTTACATAGTATCATTCCAAAAGCCATTAAAGTGTAAGCTCACCTGCTCTGTCAAGGTGAATTGCTACAAGGTAAGTTAGGATTCAAAGTGAAGGTCAGACTAGCTGAACTATTTAGCTATTTTAAATTGAATTTGAAATTCACTGAGTTCACCTTGAATACCTCCCATCTTTGGCACTCCAGGAATCGGGACATCGGTGGGAGTCCTTACATTGGCTTCCTGTATTCTATAAGAGTCAATTCAAAGTACTAATCCATACATATAAAGCACTGAACAATCCTAGCCACTCATATATCTCTTCACAGATCCATAGGTATGTCCCTTCTCGGTCTCTCCGCTCTGCCCCTGACCTTCTCCTGTCCGCTGCTCGCACCCGTATGGCCATGCTTGCAGGACTTCTCGCGAGTGGCTCCCTTCCTATGGAATAGCCTGCCTACCGCCATCAGACTCTCCCCTAGTCTTCAATCATTTAAAAAGTGTCTTAAAACCCATCTCTTTAGGAAAGCTTATTGCCTCCTAGAGTAACCTCTACCTCACATACTTGGAAAGGGCCCAAAAATCAGGACTGTTCTGTCAGAATCATGACTGTTGGGAGGAATATGTGATGGGACAAGAGAACTTATACAAAAAATGTGCAGGAGTTTGCTTGGCAGTGTGTATCACTGTTTGCCCAGGCAGTGTGTGTAACTGCCAGTGAAGTAACGAAAATCTACAGCCATTTCGTGACATCTGATAACAACTTTAGAATACTGTGCTCCAGACTATAGTCATACCTTCACTTTAGGTTTGCAGGTTAGTTTTTTCTGTTCTAATGGCTATTCAGAATAGCACTCTCGAATGGTTTAACCCCTACAGTTGCCTCCAGCGTCGATCTCCATGTCCCCCAGGCGGCATCCTAATTCAGAATCCGAGTTACAGGAAAGGCACTGTGCCGCCGGGCATTGGCACCACGGATTGCTAGAGTGATCAGCTGATGCTCTAAGCCAGTCAGTAGATCCCCATCATAAAGAGGTACGTACATTTTTTAAAAACGAAAGGCTAATGATTGTCTTAGAGCTAGTTGCTGGAGGCAAACTTTGGGGTTAAACTGTTCGAGAACAGTTTAATGCCTTAAAGTAAGAGAGAGTGCCCAGGTGCCTCCTGGCACCTTAACTTTATTTACATGCAGTTGTTATAGTGATCGGAGTGTTCCTGCACACAAAAAAAGTTAAAGCAGGTAACACGTAATAAACTATATTATGTGCCTGGTATACTATATTTTGGGCATGATCAACTAATTCTAGTGCAGGTGATTGATAGCACAGCACAAGGCCGTCCCGTCCTTAGGGCGAACTGGGGCCATGGCCCCAGACGACACTTTAACAGGGGCAGCATTTTGCCACTCCGGCCTTAGGGGTCCAGGCTGCCGAGGCTGCTCTCTAATTGGGCAACTTAGGCCATTGCCTAAGGCTTCGCGGCCACCTAAATCAGCTTGGGGCAGACTAATCCATCGGGCCCTCGGCCAACACCAGGAGGGGACCCAGCTGCTTGCCCTGTATGGCGCTGAGTGCAGGGCCCCAACATCAGTTTGCCGTGGAGGAGAGAACCTCTGGTCTGCAGCTCCACTGAGTGTGAGCTGGAGACTATTTGACGGAGGGATCGCGAGCTCCCAGAGCATTGCCATGGGTTACCATGGAAATGCTCTGGCCGGAGCTTGCAAGAACCCCATCACGTGGTCTATAGCTCACACCCGGCGGAGCTGGATACCGGAGAGCCAGCCCACTGGACCACCAGGGACAGAATTACTTTTAAAAAATGTATGTTAGTGTGAAGAGGCTCATCACAGCTTGCCCCGCCCACCACTGTCACCCTACAGCCTGCCCGCACAACTCTCACACCCTGACTGTCACCCTCAAACCCTGCCCCACCCACCACTGCCACCCTATACTGTCACCCTACAGCCTGCCCCCACAACTCTCACACCCCGACTGTCACCCTGAAACCCTGCCCCACCCACCACTGTCACCCACCACACCCTGCCCCCCTATACTGTCACCCTTTTTTAGCCCATAGGTAAGAGGCAGGGAAGGGGGATAAGCCCAATTTAATTTAAACTGCTCACCCCCCAGAATGTATCCAACACACACACTACATGCACTACACAGATACTACATCCACTGCATCCACTACACAGCAGGCATTGCATTCACTACACACACTGCATTGGCATGCTTCTGGTGGTGGTGGGGGAGGGCAGTATTTTATCCTTGGGCCAGCCCTGGTACAGCGTGCACACTATGAAGAAATATATATTTTCTGTGGCACCTCTGGTGCTCCGTGTTAGTCATGAAATAGTGTGAAAAGTCAGAAATTCTAAGTGAAACTGTGACGGCAGATAATACCAGTGTGGACCATCTAGTATGTCCAATTTTCACATTTTAGCAAAGAATGGATTACCTGGGATTTAACATCGCTGACATGGGCCTTAACACTGGACATTCACATTGACTGTTTACACTCAGCTTGTACAAGGTACACGGCTCAGTGAAATCACACGCGGGCGGTCACGCCAACCCAACAAATGCACTGCACTTGCCAACACACCTTCTGTCCTCCAGCGCAGCTGCCGTCTGGGACAATACTCTCCGCTCCCATTGGTCGGCAGCGGCCGTGATGTCAGCAGTGGCCTGCCATTCACATGCAAATAAGGCTAGCTATATGGAGGCCTCGAGCAGGCGCATTGTGACGTCACAAAGAGACCAGGGAACGTTCTATCAGTACAGTCACATGGAGCGGGGGGACAGACAGGTGAGCGATCTGTACACTCACTCTATGTATTCCTTACTGTGCTGGGGACCGGGCATCCGGCCGGCCGGAGCCTAACTCAGGGATATACCAACGTTGTGAAGGCCCAGGGTGTGCCAAGGACCCGTATCCCTGTCTATGGGAGTAGTGTGTGCCTTGGGCCTGTATCCCTGCCCTGTGCATGGGAGCATTGTGAGCTGTGTGCAACAATCCCTGCCCCGTGCATGGGAGCATTGTGAGCTGTGTGCATGGGAGCATTGTGAGCTGTGTGCATGGGAGCATTGTGAGCAACAATCCCAGCTGTGTGCATGGGAGCATTGTGAGCTGTGTGCAACAATCCCAGCTGTGTGCATGGGAGCATTGTGAGCTGTGTGCAACAATCCCAGCTGTGTGCATGGGAGCATTGTGAGCTGTGTGCAACAATCCCAGCTGTGTGCATGGGAGCAGTATATGCCATGGACCCATATTCTAGCTGTGTGCATGGGAGCAGTATATGCCATGGACCCCTATCCTGTGTGCATGGGAGCAGTATATGCCATGGACCCATATTATAGCTGTGTGCATGGGAGCAGTATATGCCATGGACCCATATTCTAGCTTTGTGCATGGGAGCAGTATATGCCATGGACCCCTATCCTGTGTGCATGGGAGCAGTATATGCCATGGACCCATATTATAGCTGTGTGCATGGGAGCAGTATATGCCATGGACCCATATTCTAGCTGTGTGCATGGGAGCATTGGAAGCCATGGACCCCTATCCTGTGTGCATGGGAGCAGTAAAGACCATGGACCTCTATCCTAGCTGTGTGCATGGGAGCAGTATATTCCATGGACCCCTATCCTAGCTGTGTGCATGGGAGCAGTATATGCCATGGACCCATATTCTAGCTATGTGAATGGGAGCAGTGGCCCCTATCCCTGGTTTGTGCACAAGACCAGTGTATGTCATAGGCCTGTACCCTGTTCTGTGCATCCTGTAGGGGACCAGTATATGCATTTACTTGCAGGATTCCTGTCTGGTCTACACTGGACTTGTCTAGATGTGAAGGAAGGCGTACATGCATGTGTCTTGAAGGGAATATTCAGTATGTGCACTTAGTCCACTAAAAATATGCACAGTAGATGCACTCTGTGTCCTTGTTGGGAATTGTTGGAAGCTAAAATATTTGGGCACAATAACCAGATTGCTTAAAAATGAAATCCATGTTGATACCCACAAATTCTCAGTTAAGTGAATACTTATGTAAATTTGTTTTTATTTTTTTGCAACACATTCTCAATTTACTGCAATCCCCTGTCTCTTTATCCCCCAAACTATTTATAATAACACAAGAAGCAAGAAATGCTGTCTGGAATGCAAAATTAAAAAATAATGTATCCCAGATACCTTGTATGTATCTTTAGTTTATTCATGTTGCTCTATTACCTGGTGAATGTTCTTTGTGAGGTTATACTCTTGTCTTGAGAAAACGTTTCCTGTTGAGACTGAAACGTTTATACGTTGTGATTACCTGATTTTGGAGTTAATAAAGCACTGAAAAGTTTGATTTTTAAAATTCTGACCGTGCGCTTCTCCTTGTTTGGTATAATTAGGGCCGGTTGCTGTACCAGAGTACGCACGGATTAACTAAACTGTGTATGCTCAGTTATGAGTTATACTCAGTTATGAGTTTTCCCTTGTGACATGAGAGCGTGCTTGTGTCGGTTCACTGTCCCATTCCACTACTTTGTCTGTGAATGGCTTATCATGCTTTTTTTGGTTTGGAAATGATTGTATTACGTAGTAGTGACCTATGTTTAGAGGTTGTTGTGTGTGTTTGTTTTTTTTTTTTTTCATGATGACAACTTGCTTCTTTGTCTATTAGACAAATTTGTAGAACACAAACCAAAATATGAAACTCATTAAGGTTGTATAGTCAGCAGGCATTTGTCAAGAGTCAATTGCATACCTGCGGCAAAATATAATCTGTATTGCTTATTATAAATAGTTTTTTTTTATTTTGTGTGTAAAGTAGCTCTGTAAAAAAGTATTCACCAACCTAAAACCATTTTATTTTGTAGTAAACCTTTAATAAATAGGTTTATACAACAGTAAGAAAAAAAGTGTATTTATGATACTATACTAATATAGTAAATTAAATATTAGATATTATAGGGCTAGGTAATTGTGTGTGGGAGAGGGGTATGGGGGGACAGCTGGTGGATGATGTCTATGGCACCATGAGGGTACTGTAAGTGAGAACAGTTGCATGAAATTAATGTAACTGACCAATGTTGGACAGCATTGATATTGTCAATGTGGAATAGTGATATGGACATCGAAGGGCTGGACTATGTGCATCTGGAGGACCCTTGGTTTGTGCCAAATCATTTGAAAACAATGCCACTACCAACTTAATAAAACATGGGTGGCAAAAGTATGCCATCCTATATGAACCCAATGTAAACATGTTTTCTAAACCGGTGAAAGGCTCAAATGGCAAGTGAAAATTAACTCCAGAGGAGTAAAATAAATTCACTGGAGGACTTGAAATATCAAGGACTGCTTTTGAAGTATTCAGTGTGCCAAAATGTATTATATTTGGCATCTAAATCTCATAGCAGCCACAAAAATCACAGTATATAGTGTGTGTGTGTGTGTGTGTGTGTGTGTGTGTGTTATCATCATTTACACTACATGACCTCTACCATCCATTCAAAACCATGTCAAGCATGCATACACCTTTTTTTTTTTTTTTTGGTTGTACATAGATAACAAGTATACAATACAAATCCTAAGTACCATGACAACTATGAATTGTGTTTGTCAGCCCTGGCCACCATAGGGTCCCCCCAAGTCTGCTGGCTGTGAGCAATAGAAGCAGTGGCGAGGGAGCTGTAAGCTTCTTGCTCTGGTCCCTCGCACGCCCTGTTGTGATGCTGGGAGTCGGAATATGACATCACTAAATAGGATGCAGAGCAGGCAGGTAAGGTAGTGTTTACATTGAAAAGCCTGCTGGACAGGCTAGAGATACCAGAACCACTACACTAAGCTGTAGTGGTTCTGGTGACTATATGACTATAGTGTCCCTTTAAGATTTATATTTTTGTTATATAAATCTGTTTAAAAAACAAAACAAAAAACCTGGCTCCTAAGTTTTGTGGGGTTTTTTGTATTTTTTTTAAGCTGGCTCCTATATTTAAATTAAATTTGTCAAGCACTGCCGTACTATGCACAACTAATTATTGAAATCATGGCAGTTGTGCTGTATACTTGTGATCAATTTACTCCAATTGATTTCTGTGGGGGAGCTGGATGCAAAGTAGTAGTAACTGTATGTAGTATGCTTGAATGATTGTGTTGGGGGAATCAAAGTACTAATAAAAATAGTAATAAAGATTTTGACATATCCGCTAGCTTGCTTGTCAAGCTAGGATACATTATTCCAAATTTGGTTACAGTGTCCATGTTAGTGAAATATTCACGTAGTGTCCGTTTAATAAAGTACTAAACGGAATTTAGTCAGAATGGAATATAAAGTTCCATTTGAATTGACTCCCTAATACAGTACATTTATACTGTAATGTCTCTTTTAATTTGTGTGTTGTATGTGACCCTTCTAATTGAAAATGTTTATACTAGGTAGCTCAGAATAAATGATATCCTACATTTAGGCAAGATAATACTACAGCAATTCTAGCCATGTTGCTGACCGTATTGTTAGAATTTTAAAGTAATGCTTCCTTCCTTTGACACCTCCTTTAGATATCCTGTTGTGTTTATATGGGATCACATTTCAAGGCCAAAGGCACAGACTTGGGTAGTCCTAGCAGATGGCTGTCTGCTTTTGAGGCAATAATAAAGGGCTAGGGTGTCCTTTGAAATGTCCCAGTGATAAAAGGCAGTGTACACAAGTAATCATGGCTACTATCACAAATGTGCTTCTGCAAGGAACAAATGCACACAGTGTAAAATCAATTTAAACACAAATCACTGTTTAAAGGGACAAAATGTAAAACATTTTAATGGGGAAAAAAACGGCTAAAATATTTAAGCTTTAAAGTATATTTCTTTGACTTTTTCTTTCTTAAAGCACAATGGACTGTCTGGAAGAAATGTGGGGGGAACAGTGATAGAAAGATTAATAATAGCTTGCTAGAGATATGGAGATTAGAGGGGCTATAGGAAATGAGATGTGAGCAAAATAAAATATGTGCAGGAAGACCAGTAGTAAAACAAGGGGACTTTGATGGAGCAGTAGAAAAGAGGAGGGGAACACTTTAAGAGGGTGGAGCACTGACAGAAAGTGTAAGGGAGGTGGAGAGTTTGAGTGCCAGGGCTGCAAAATGTCTGGGCATTTAGGAGATCTACAGACAGTCTAAGTGAACTGGCAACCTAGCTGACTGTGGGTAAGAGACTTTGAGACTAAAATATTAGCACGTTCTTCCTTTTGTTAATTGTTCCTGGAGATACCAGTAGAAAAGCTTAGCTTTACATTTTGCATATTCAAATGAATGCATCAAAAGGTAGTCAAATGAGTAACAGAACAAATAATTCATATGCAATGTGAATTAAAATTCCATCAGATTGTGAGCATCTTAAATTTAGCATATGTGACTAATGTATCATTTTCAGTAACCCAAGTCTGGTATATATTGCTGATATCAATTGTCAGACTTATTTGTAGCTTTGGGCATTCAGTAGAATGTTTTAGTAGAGAGATGGAACTTTAGATTTGTAAAAGTGACAGTATGTTTTAAATACAACCTTCAGTGGATTGGTATTTTAGGGTTTTTGTGCTGATGGTACATGTACTAATCAGTAATAATGTATACAATGTCTACTAGTTCTGTACTGTTTTTGGTTTGAGGGTTATTAATGTTGCATAATAACAACATAATAAATTATGTATTAAAGTGAGAATTGTCAAGAACTGAAAGTGAATTTCTAATTTAAGGACAAAATAGCTGAATTTTTCCAGTTTGTCTATTTTGGCCTTAAATGTGATAATCGCTTTGAATTTCTGACAGTTCTGCTAATCTGTCTTTTAAAAAAAAATAAAAAAATTTAGTGAATAAATAACCGAATTGCAGAATGTAGGCTAAGAGTAATAAGATGAAGAAAAATCTTAAATTCAGTTATAGTGTGTTATTTTCACATTGCTGATAATGTTGTCTTTCAGTGAACCACAACTTAGCCATGTTTAGTGAATACACCCCTTGGCTGTAACTAGATGTTAATAACTTATTTTGTGTTTGTTGTCTTTTTGTGTGGGTAGGTTAAAAGGATTTATATGATCACTGTCTAGACTGACACAGAGTTATGAAGGTAACTTTAATTTGCTGTTCCTAGTTAGTTTTTGGTTTTTTTTTTTTCCCCTAACCTTTCTCCCCATTTAGCATTTTGGTTGCTTGGTTTGTAAAGTTCAAGGAACTGAACAATTCAGTTCAATTAATGACAAGTCATTGAGATGATAATGTATTCTTGCTGGGCGTTTTAAAGAAGCTATTGACAGAGTTAATTATACAACTTCTATAGATCTAGAGCTCTTAACCGGATGTAGACAATACATGTCCTTTTTTTTTTTTTTTTTTTACAATGATTTTAGAAATTATATAAATCATTATTTTTCTATAGGTTTTAAGTATTCTGACACCGTATCTGGCAAATATATTTTAAGTACGCTTGGATGTATTTACTACAGTGGCTTTTATGAGCTAATTCTTTCATTTAAAATAGCTTTAGGATAGCTAAATGATAATACAACTTGTTGGGACTTAGAGGAACACTATAGCTTTAGGAATACAAACATGTATTCATAACTCTTTATTGTCCTGCTACCTATCTACATATTGTTCTCCCCCTCCCTTGACGTTTTGAAAGGCCTCGCCATGCCAGTGTCCACGATGCCGTTCCACCTCCTTGACTGAGCTCATGATTATCTCATCCATACCAAAGCTTCCTCATAGGGAAGCATTGGGAGGCAGTAAAACACTACGCCAATCAAATGCTGCTCTAGGAGAAACTTTTGATCTATAACAGAGTTTGACTCCGATATAGCAGGGAAAGTGCCTATAGTGGCTGTCTTCCTGACAGCCACCAGAGGCATTATAATTTTGCTATGTTCTCAATATTTTTTCATGCTTAAAAATGGTGGTGAAGGTGACTTTAGGGTCTCTTTAAAGCAGATCTGTCACTTTTAAAGGTCTGCATATTTTGCAGGAAGGTGACATCTCCAGTTAGGGTGCAGTTGCCAAGTGGTGTAGTGGTAGTTAGGTTTACCTACCCGAAGTGGTTATTCATGGCTGCCTCAATCTTATTCCTGCAGGCCTTCTTCTTCCTGCTACATATGCCAGACGCCGCATCAGTTCTGTACACTCACGTGTGTGCGAGGGTGTAACACTGAGGTGTATGGAGGATGCGCAAGAGCCTCCTTAGACAGCAATGAGTGGCATGATGACTGAATCCCACAGCTGTCAATTGTTACGGCTGTTAGGATTGGACAAAAGTTGATGGCGGAGATCTGCGTTTTCTCAACCTTAAGACAAAGTAGTCCCTACTTTTTGTTTTATGGTGTGGTTTGTATTTTTTGGACTGCGTTGGAATGTCATTAAAATTCCAACAGAGCCAGCATGAGTTTTGCTTAAAAAACAATATATCTCTCTTGTATATGAAGTGAGAGATGCTTTAACTCACTAGGAAAATTGTCTTGCATATGTCTCCTAGTAAATGTCTACCACTGTATTCACATAAATTCACTAAACCTGGAATTACAGAGAACTAACAAGTGAATGTCAACCTATAGGCTGTATTGGAAAATGCGTTAACTCAGGTTTTCTTGTTGTGGTGGTGTGTGGGCGTCATGAGTTTTCTGCAATTCCCAGTTTAGGGAATAAACTTGCAGTGTTCTTACTTTATTAAAATTGACAATTGTAAGTACTTCCATGCGTCATTAAATATACCATAATTATCTATTTTTCTAGACGAGGAAGCCTCTGGTGGAGAAGAGGAGGAGAGCAAGAATTAACGAGAGTTTGCAGGAGCTGCGGGGCATCCTTGCTGACACAGAGGTGTGTTCCAGTGTTTTTAAAGTTTAAGCTCGAGGCCTGCATATGTTCAACATTCTGAATACCAAAACCATAAAGAATTCTATGAAAAGGGGGCATGATGCACCGATTGAGCTCTATATACAGTACCAAAACTATTTGTCACTTAATATTCTAGATGGCACTGTTCAAGCATCTGGGAATAGTTAACTTTTTTTCCCCTGCTCTGTAAACAGACGTACTCTACCGGCATACTCGCCCAGCAATAGGCTGCAAAGGTGGGAGTAACCTATCCTGCCTCCGTCTTCCATAATGGAGTAAAAATGCTCTCTGGGATTTAAGGTTTTGATTACAGAAGAAGTGCAATGTTATTGCTGCCAGTAGCGGTCAAATATTTCTCCTTATGCATTTAATTATGTGAATAGATATTTTGTATTGTACATCGCTACGGAATTTGCTGCCGCTATATTATTATTGTTTACGCAAACGTAATGAATTTATTTTTCTTATATTTTTAGTTTCAGTCAAAAATGGAGAATGCTGAAGTTCTAGAATTGACTGTGAAACGTGTACAGAGGATCCTTCAAAGCAGGACAGCTGGTGAGTGTCTGCTGCAGAGCTTTATAGGATGCATGGCCAAAATGGCATAACTACAGCTCATATGATGCTTTATAGTTCTACAATAGCCATCTATGCACTCAAGTTTACATAGAAACTTGTCCGGGATAATATAGGTTTAAAGGGACATTATAGTCACCCAGACCACTTCAGCTCAATGAAGTTGTCTGGGTGCCAGGTCCCTCGGGTTTTAACCCTTCACATGTAAACATAGCAGAGAAACTGCTATTTTTACATAGAATGATTAAGCCAACCTCTAGTGGCTGTCTTCCTGACAGCCGCTAGAGGCACATCTGCGACTCCAGCGTGCAGAACGTCCATAGGCAAGCATTGAGAAATGCTTTGCTATGGACTGTTTGAATGCGTGTGCAGCACTTGCCGCGCATTTGCATTCCGCTCCACTCTGGAGCTGATGTTGGCGAGGGAGGTAAGTGGCTGAAGGGGTTTTAACCCCTTCAGCGCCAAGTGAGAGGGACCCTGAGGGTGGGGGCACTATAGTGTCAGGAAAACGGGTTTGTTTTCCTGACACTATAGTGATCCTTTAACCCCTTAAGGACACATGATGGAAATATTCAGTCATGATTCCCTTTTATTTAAGAAGTTGTGTCCTTAAGGGGTTCATATAGGTAACAATGTATTGTGCCCTTGCCATTTTTCTTTTGGCAGCTCCAGGATTATTTTCATTTGGGTGTACCACTCTCCTTTATGGGAAAACAAATATTAATAAATTTCTCTAATTTTACAGATTCTGAAAGGTTACAGCATGAGGCCAGTGAGCGTTTTGCCGCAGGATACATCCAATGCATGCATGAAGTGCACACGTTTGTGTCCAACTGCCCTGGTATAGATGCCAGTCTAGCTGCTGAGCTGCTCAATCACCTACTGGAGTCCATGCCTCTAAGTGAGGGTAGCCTACAGGATCTAGTTCTGGATGTGCTGCTAGATTCTCCAAATGCTGAGGCTGGATATGGTTTAGGGATGCAAGCATCATCTTCTGAGGACAGTTGCTCTGACACAGAAGACACAGAAATTGGAAAAGGTGTCCATGGGACTGTGCAGGACAGTGACCGAACACCTGAGCTTAAGCCCCCTACACCTACAATGTGGAGGCCATGGTGACCTTGAGAAGGAGTAGTGATGAGCACGGAGACCCCTGCTCAGAAATTAAAATGCCGTTAGTCCATTTGTGTTATATGCACCATACACAGAGGAGCCAATACATGATGCTTCCCTATTTTGGATCACCAGTCCTACCACTTCATCCAGTTGTAATATAAACAATTTCTGAAATTGTATTGTTCTGTCTACTTGCAACTGAGGCTCAGAAACTTGGACAAACCAACACTGCCGTACATGCCGCAGCATCAACTTGTTGGGTCGCTGACAGGATGCCATTCTGTACAGATACTTCACTTTATTACAAAATGCTGTTTGTTAAAAAAAAGCCTGGACATTCTATATAAATTCAACATTGGTTTAAAGTGCAAAATATTGTATAGATGCTATTCATTATAATGCACACAATGTTCATGACCATTGTTTAGATTCTGTCCTTTCGTCCACATAGTACAGATCTGTCTCCCGTTATTGGTCAATATTTCTAATATTTTAGTGATTTGCAGACTCTCCCAGCCTACAGGATAGTGCTAAGCTCAGTAAGAGATCATTAACAGGTCGGGGTTTTGGTCGACCACTACTTTAATGAACTGAATTCAGTTAAGGCACTAACTTGTGCACAAATGGGACTATACTGACTTGTTAGAAATTCTCCTAGGATTACTACAGAAAGACCTATTGTGTTGTCCAACTGCTGGTCAAGGCCAACAGCCAATGAAGGCCTATAAGCCAGAGGTTAATTTACCTATTTGGGAAAAGGCTAAGACTTTTATTCAATGGAGGGAAAGTGTATATAGGGTGATTTAGTTAGGCCTCTCGGGCTGTATATGCATAGTGATAGTGCATTGGAATTTAATCCCTAGAAGGGATGTCTAGTGTTTAGGTAACTTGAGGTTCTACCTTCAGTGAAGGAGACTGTAGAAATTTGTCTGGATACCGATTTGAAGGGTGCTATAGGAAAACAAACATTTTCTGAATTTGCAGGAATTTTTGTGTATATTAGGAAGGTAAAGTGTTGTGACGTCTTTTTTGTTTTTAGTGTTTTTCTTTTTTGTTTTTTTGTTTTTTTCTTAATTTGTATATAGACAAATGTTTTAACACTGATTTGGGAGCTGGTGCCTGAGTCTTCGTCATGCCCTTGCACCATTTCATAAATTCATTTTTCTCCATTTTGTGCATCCCTCTGGCAAGCACTTATCTATCTTTGTTTTTTGTGTTTAGTGTAAAATTGCTCATCCCAGAACTAAATGTTTTTTTTTTATTCATTATTTTATACATACTAAAATGTACTAGTCAGCAGAGAGTTCTACTGTGCATTCATTACTGAAAATAAATGAAGGCTCTTTTGGGAACAGTCTGTTTCTCTTTATGATATTCAAAGAAATTGTGGGACTGTATAGCTCAAACTATGTGTGTCCTGTTTGTAACATAATTAACAGATTATTAAACCGTATATTACAAAGCACTATTAAACTATACATTTTGTATTTATTTGTAGCTTGTTTACTATCACAATTTATTGAAGATTGTCATTTAGCACATGACTAAATCTGTCTGATTTTGTTTGAACCAGACAGTTGGTGAAATTGATCAAATTGTTGTGTTCTGAAAAATGGTGCAAAGAACTAAAAGTTGAACAATCGCTATGAGCGTTTGGGACATATTCCATTGGTGACCCTATCAATTTTACATCTTTACATCTAAATTGATAGACTACATAGCATATTACCCTTTAAGTCGGCCCTGTCTACGCAGACTAAAACCATCTGACACTGTTCAGGATAAAATGGGGGTATTTCATTGACCAGTACCAATTTAAATACTAAATACCATCAGCATTATTCTCTAAAGTATGAATTCAAAGCAGATTTTATGTTTTAGGAAAAATATTGGATTTACGAAAATTTCTGAACTTTTACTTTTAAGTTGTTTTGGATTCCTGAGAATTGATCATTTAGTGAATAATCGCATGTCTATGCATACATTTCCTGTTCCTGTAAAGATTAAATCCTTTTCACTGCTTGTGGAATCTTTTGCAAGAGAAGATGCCTGTAATTGTGGTAGGTATTTATTTTTTTTATTTTTTTTTTGGGTGGTGATTTACAGGGTGTTTTTGTGTTTTTTTTTTTCTTTTGCATATATTGTACCATGGTGGCATAATACCCCGGATATACCTTGAAACTGTCATTATTCAAATTTAGAATTTTGGTCACTAAACCTTTATGATTAGTTTACAAGTTGCAAAATGTAGCATAAACTAAACTTCATTTGAGTTATTTTCCAACTTTTTGATACAGTAACCTTAATTAACACACTGTATTCTGTGACTAGATAGAAATCCTACTATGGTAAGTGAATAGCAATTTTCCCATAGATATTAAAATGTTCTACAATCCACCCTTTGGCCTTCTGAGCTCACCTGGCAGTCTTATTTTGCAGTCCAGTTCAGAGAGACATTCTAGATATTAAAAGGAGGATGTCTAGTTTATATTTACCTGGGCAATATATTGCTTCATCCAAAAGTCCTACCTGTGAGAATAAGGCCAGCAGTATTGGTGTTAAAATGATTGGAACTTAGTAACACACAAAGCACTCTCGTGAGCATTAATATGCAGATGCATATGCATGTTTGATTTTTCTTACCCATACTACTCCCTAATTGTTTGCAGACATCTGTGAGACAGCACCCATTGACTCAACGTACACTGCCCCTGTTCGGTAATAAAATTATAAATGCATGGATATATGAATGTGTCTGAATTTTATCAATCACAGTAAGTTTACAAACTAGGTAGCGATCAGCAGCTTTTGTGAAAAGGATAAGTTACATGTTTACATTTACACTAGAGATGCTGTCTCAGGCCATGTCTTCCCATATGGCTAAAAGGTCTGGTGGGATTCTGTATACTGCCCGGCAAAACATTTTTTATTATCAGGGTAATGTTTGGGGGTGGGGTGGAACTAATTTACAGTCCTAAGTTGGACATGGTCAGTGCAAGTCCAGTACTGGAACCGCATATATTCATGCATGTAAACATACATCCATTTCTAGATACACCTTCCTACTAGTTGGTTTATATCCCAGAAAAGAAGAAAAAAGTTCCAAAATGATTTTCCCTTCCCTAGCTATCTACTGCATGGGACATACATTTCCTGTAATTACATACACTGTGCTAAATTCTACTCCAATTTCTTAGGCAGAAAGATGTAGCCCATAGACCTACAGGAAAGGTGTCTCCTAGTGTTAAGTCGCCTTTGATGTGTTGATGAAGGCCTGTTCATTGGCAATTGTGAAGTACAGATCAAAAGCCAGGGAGGCAGAGTGGATGTCTGAGCAGGGAGCACTAAAACAATTTCTACAGGAAGTCTATCAGGCCATAATAGGCAGCTGTGTTTCTTACCAGGTTGCTGGATTTTAGGCTTCGAAGTGTTAAATATTCTAAGGTGATTGCAAACTAAACCGTGAACAGTGGTGAATTGACATCTGAATTGTAAATTTTAAGATAAAATAGCATCATTGGTTAAAATGATTTTAGTTTAATTTGGCAAGTGTGAGCTACTTTTTGCATTCTAGTTCTCTGTTTGCCATTTGACATATAAACCATTATTACTAGACCTATTATAAATGCATTTTATTATTTTTGACTTTCCTGTGAATTATAATTCTATCCATCTCCAAAATGTGCTATGCGACAGGTCTTTATTTTAACTGATCATGCTTAATCCCATAGTTCATTTTAAGAAATGTACTGAAATGTAATTGTGTAAATGTGACATAAGTAAATAGTAAATGATAAACAAAGGTTTACATGGCCCCTGCTCAAATAAACGTTCTTTTGGACATGTCTCAGTCTGGCTAAGAAGGGAGGGAGCCATAATTCTATACAGCCATCCTCTCTTCCCCCCCCCCCTCCCCCCAAAAATAAATAAATTTAAAATGTTTATTTCATTCAGATGGAATCCAGTTCAGGTAAGTAGATCCTTTTACATGACCCTTCAACCCGCCAAGCTACCGGACCCCCAGTGGTGATGTCTTTGCAAACTCTGTAATGTCCCCAGACAGCGACAGTGCTGCTTTAATAAATTGACCTTACAATTTTATGATGTGGTTTATTATGGAGTACAGACTCCCTTTATTGGGTATAATATATCTCATTCTCAAAAAATGCATTTTTCACCATTACATATCCCTGGTCTCTCTCTGTGATAGAGGAAACTGCAAAGTGCTGCTTGGAGGCACAGGATAATTTATATCTATCTCTCTTAAACAGAAGGCTGTCAACTCCCATGGCGTTCCCTCTCTGAGTACTGTCATCCTTTGCCTGGAGCATGAGCTTACTTGGCCCCAATGTCCCCCAAATTTGACCGTTTTTCCTTTAAACCATAGCTTTTCTTGTACATCAGCAGGTATCTGCTGTGGTATGGTGACATTGAAAGATAGTTCCAAAGATATGTAATCAGTAAGTCAAGAATATTTTATATAGGTGACCTGGAAAGGCCAATATAGCAAAACACCACTACTAAACTATTATTCCAGTTCAGATATTGTGGCCTAAAATTCTCTATTCTATTATTAATTTCCAGTTTAGTAAACACTCATAGATTTTCAAGTCTTTAGTTATTCTTGACCTTTTAGAGTGCTCATAATGACCCCTGTCCACCGCCGAAAGTGCCTTCAATGGGGTAGTGAGTATCAGCACTGGACCATGAAGCAATGAAAAGTTGTCTGGTCTGATGAGTTGCGTCTCTTTTAGTTCTGGTAGATAGCCGGGTGCTTGTGTGCATCATTTACCTAGGGAAGTAGGCAGACTGGGGGAGGCAGTGTTCTACTCTGGGAAATGTTGGGCCCTGGCATTCATATGGATGCTACTTTGACATGTAGCACCTACCCAGAGATTGGTGGAGATCACATACACCCCTTCCTAGCAGTGATAGTATCTGTGGGCATGGGGAGGGGGGGTTCAGCAGGATAATGCACACTGCAAACATTGTTCAGGAATAGT